GTGCGTTAGGGTGTGATTAGTAGTAATGGGAGGGGACTCTTTGCCAAATGACGGCATAAAATTATCGAAGGACTGCTACGTTTATAATATTCTTTGACTCTTAAAACATGAGTTTATTCCGTTAACCAGGAGAATAATTATGAATTTCTTTCCCCCTTCCTTGCTGGAGCTCCTTAGTTGGTGTCTCACTTTTTTCTTACTTCCTCCCCCCGGAATCTAAGGCCAGACTCCATGCTGGGCCCTGGGAGTCATTGGTGAGAACACAGGCCTGGTCCTGACCCTGTTGAGCCCGCAGTCTAGTGGGGAAGACATACGGGCACTTAAAACACTGGTGTGATAAACCCCACGGTGGGGAAGTGCGGGGGCCTTGGGAGTCCAAAGGCAGGGACCCCACCCTGTGGGACCAGGTTTCAAGTGGAGATCTGAGCGGTGAGGATGAATTGGTGGAGGGGTGTGCCAGTGGGAGAGTTTCCTGATGGGAAATGCATATTTGGTCTTTGTCCCCCCTTCCCTGCACAAGCCCTTGGAATGTCCTGAGTGAGGGGGGTGAAAGGAACAACATCTCTTGTCATTAGTAGCAAGCCCCTGTTGGCCGTACCTGAACTGATGCCACTGAAGTGACTCTGGGTGGGCTCCAGAGAGCTTCAGCACGAGGCTTGTGGCCGGAGAGGCCAGCCATGTGCCTGGAGGGTTCGAGCCCTCAGTCCCACCCTCGTGGCGTGGACCACTGGGTAACCAGACGGTAGATATGAGGCCGTTTCTCTTTATGAAAGTATGTCAGCTAGTAATCGAAGGTGGATGACAAAATTAGAGTATCAGCATTTTGCAATTTCTTTTTTTTAAGAGGATTTTATTTATTTATTTTTAGAGAGAGGGGAAGGGAAGGAGAAAGAGAGGGAAGGAAACCTTGATGTGTGAGAGAAGTATCGATCAGTTGCCTCTTGCATGCCCCCAGCGGGGGACTGGCCTGCAACCCAGGCATGTGCCCTGACCGGGAATCGAACCAGCGACCTTTCACTTTGCAGGACGATGCCCAACCAACTGAACCATACCAGTCAAGGCGCATTTTGCAATTTCTAATAGATGGAGCATTGATTATCATTTTTTAAAATCTATGGGCCTTTACAGTCTTTTATTTAACTCAAAAATGTATTCATAGGTAACCCTTTAGTTAATTACATATGTGTTCAGATTGTAATGGAAGTTCTAGGCAGGGATTTATAATGGTTGAATTAATAATCAGGTAGTAGTCTTGACTCACTCTGAGTCATTACTGAGAAATTGCATGCTCCAAATTATGTGTCTATAAAACAGATAACAGGTACCTACCTCTTGGAGTTTCTCAGGGTTTCTGCTTATTAAACCAGGTGCTAGATATCTATTAAAATAGCTTTGGAAGTGTGAAATAACAGCTCACAGAATGGGTTTCAGAGATGCCGAGGGTGTTTTGCTCAGTGTCCGGGGGAAGCAGGCGGAGTGCCCAGACCCGTGGTCACCTCGTTCCCACTCTGCACTGGGTGAGCTGCTGCAGTGTCAGGAGACGCACCTGCTGTGATTGGTGTTTGTCTTTAGTAGGTGATTGGTTGGGTTTATGCATTTCTGAATGTCATAGACCAAGAATGTTGAGGGAAAACCATCTTGCTTCGTGGTGTCCTAGCAGTTATAATCAGGAACCTTGCAGGGAGGGGCTCTGGCTGTAGTTTGACCACGGGGTGGGGGGGCGGGGGGGGGGTTAGCTGTAGTTCCTCGTGGCTCGAATGTACTTCCTGTCCGTGGCTTATGCACACCCATCTCACCTCCCAGCCTGTGCTAGGCTGGCCCAGTTCTTCATTTGATGGAAGTTTTTCCTGCATTGTATGTAGAGTTTTTTTAAAGCATAGTACTTTGGACTAATCAAAAAATACAGTAAATAAAAAAATAGTTTTTGAAAGTGGTGAAACTGTAAAAATGTCTACTGACAGCCACCCAGTGAGATCCTTTTCAGGCCGTCATTAGTAGAGAGCTTCGGGCGGGACCGGTGGACACCGAGGTTGGGCAGACCTGCTGCCCGTCGGGGAGCACAGGCCCCCGCAGGGGCTCCAGGAGGCAGGCACCCAGGCAGAGCGAATCGGTAGGAGGCAGGGCCGAGCCGGCAGAACCTGTTATCTGTGACGCGGGGGCGCCTCCTCACGCCTGCCTAACCCCTCGCAGAGGCCGGTGGGCGGCATGAATCAGGGAACCGGGCTGCCAGCAGGCAGTCCCGATCAGACTCTACGATGAAGAGGTGGTGCGTCACGGTTGAAAGTTGCAGGAGAAAAGAGAGGGAGAGTAAGTTAATGTTTGGTACGTGGAGTCAGCAGGAGAGCCCCGGAATGGGGACTGTCCTAACTGACAGTGATAGACTTCAGTGCTTACTCAGGTTAGGCTGTTTGCAAGTGTCAAAAGTTACCCGCGTGGAGGCAGAGCACTGGGGTGTCCTGGGCAGCGCGAGGATGTACGCTCAGTGCCCCCGAGCCTGGACTCTGGCCCTGCAGCCCCCCGCTTTGTGGCCTCATCTGTTGGTGGAATCTCAGACACACTTGGCTGTCACACCCTTGTCCCTGTGCCCTTGAAGAGAAGGGCCTGTGCCCGTGAAGCCAGCTTTCCAGGGTGCGCTGCGTCTGAACCCAGGGGCGTTGAAGTGCGGTGGGCAAACTGCATGTTAAAAATGAACGCAACACAGTGGGCATGAGTGCGCTGTGCTGGGATATGCCCAGGAGTCGTATTTAGTTTTTACTGTATGAGTCGGGGGCGGGGAAGCACCGTCACAGCATGAATGCCAGTGCGGACGCACGGGCTGAGCGGGGTGAGAGGACGGGGGGCCGCAAGGAGGAGGAGGGGTCTGTCCGGGTCTCCTTCCCTTGCAGAAAGCGGCCCCCAGGCCTCGCCCGGTTTAGTGTGGGAGCGCGTGTGCGCAGTGTCTGCTGTGAGGGCGTTCTGTCTGTCTGTGCACACGGACTTCCCTCCGGCCTGGGTCTTTCGAGGAATCGCCAAGTCACTCCGTGTCCAGTGCGTGGACTCTGCTGTTGTGGGTATTGGGTCTAGAACTTGCCGGTGCTCAGCAGCCCTTGGTTAACTGCAGTGTGTCGCTTGTGAGCAACACACAGTGCGTGTTTCAGCGTTGCTTTCACAACTAGACCTTTGTTACTGAAAAGGGCCTTGGTCCCCTTTGCGGTTGACTTTGGGTGGCCCTGCTCTTCAGGGAAGTCGTTTTATGGTCAAGAGTCGTCATGCTTGTTGCATCGGAGTTAGGGCTGGTTTTTCTTTTCTTCGGGTCCTGCAGTTGCACCGAAGACAGACTGTGGCGTTGTTCACTGCCAGCCCCCACGCCTTCCCCTCGGCGCGTTTGAGCACGTCATTAGCTGTAGCTGAGGATTTCGAGGAAAAGTTTATTTCTGAACTTATCGTGGTAATCATTTCACAATATATGCCCCTGTCAAACCATCACCTCGTGTGCCTTCAACTGACACCATGTTATATGTCAGTTACATCTCAATAACACTGGGCGGAAATGTTTGTTTCTTAGTAGAACACCAGTGGGCGAGGCTTACCAGCTTGCTCCAAAGAAGCTGCTCAGCGTAGCCCTGGTTGGAGGAGGCGTTTCCAGAGAGCTCCCTGTCGGAGGTGGGGGTCGAGACAGCCTGCGTGCTCTAGGCAGGGCCGCGCACTTCGCCACGGAGGGTCGGGAAGTGGGATGTTTTAGGCTTTGTGGCTCACGGGCACCGTCTGTTGCGTGTTGTTTCGTTTCGTTTTATTTTGAAAATGGCCCTTTAGAGATGTACAAAGTCATCTTGGCTGCCCCCTACCCCGGCCGGCCGCTGCCATGCGAAAAGCAGTCACAGGCGGGGCTTGCAGAGCCCGTTCTAGGGAAGGGCTCCTGAGCACCTTGAGGCTCCTCGGAGAAGGGCAGGACCACAGCCGCCGGAGTCGGGAAGTAGAGGAGGAGCCTGGGGCCAACCGGAAGGGACGGGCAGGAGGATGAAGGGAAGGCCCAGTCGTCGACTGGACAGAGCCCCAGGGCCAAAGCTGGAACAGTTTGAGTGACAAAATAATGGTAATACTGGATTGTAACCCCAAGAATGTGAAGTGTCTGTGAGTCCGTAACTGTAAGTGAGGGAGGAGGAGCAACTCTTACTCACAGGGGAGTTACAAATAAGGAATGAAGAGGGAATGAGAGGCAGTTTTAACATTTGTCTGCGGATCTGTCACGCTCCTCAGGAAGCCCCCCAGGAGTGTACCCTGGACTTTGGGACCCACTTCTAAGGGGTAGAGAACGTGAAGGGGAAGGTGGTCGCCTCCCACTGGTGAATTCTGGCAGGAGCCAGCTGGCCAAAGGGTCGTGGTTCACGCACCCGCACCTCCTGGAATAAGGGGTGCCAACACCGTCTCCCTGCAGTGATGGGAGGAGAGGACCGTTCATTCTGGGCTGTTCTAGATCTTCTGGCATATCTGCAGCCCCAGCGCAGTCACGAGGCAAACCAAACGGAAGACACTTTACACGAAGTCTGAGAAGCACTGGGGATGGGAGATGAGTAAGGGGACAGGATGATTAGATGCAGTGTCCGCAGCCGGGACTGAGTCTGGGAAAGCAAAGGAACGTCAATGGGAAGACCAGGGAAGTCCGAACAAAGCCTGAGGCTCAGTCAGTGGTGGTCTGCGGATGCTGCTGCCATCTGAGCCCTGATGAATGAGCCGCGGAGACCTGAGCCGTCCGTGTCAGTGGAAGCAGGTGAAGGGGAATGGGGACTCCGGATTGTCCCCGGGACTATTCTGTAAATCTGAGATTGTTTCACAACAAGATTTTTTAAAACCCTAGCTTCTTACTCTGGATTGGTTATCAATTTCATCTTGAGCATTTATGCATTATTAAGCATTTATTAACTCTTGGTCCCATTTACATCTGGTGGAAAATGCACTGATTCGCTCATTGGAGTTGATTGTTGAGTGCCCACGTTGTTAAGATGACTGACTTCTCTCCCCAGGGGAGCTGCCTGCGGCAGAAGTCTCCTCGGCCTTTGTGGTCCTGTCCGTGTGCACTTTCATCGTGCTGATCGTGCTGGTGGCCAATTGTGTTTCCTGCTGCAAGGACCCGGAAATAGACTTTAAGGTGAGCACAGGTGGTGGGAACATTTAAAACCAGCTTCTGATACATTTGTTGATAGAATGGCCAGACTTCACTGTCCCTGGGGCACCGGGGCTGCAGACTTCCTCTGTGGGAGCCAGCTGGTAACCATGTCCTGCCGCAGCAAACAGTCCATGCCGTGGGCTGTGCCGAGTGTAGGCACGGCCACTCAACTCTTGGCTTGCCGTTGTGGTGCTGATGCCAGCCACAGACACCACAGAAGCAGACGGTTGTGGCTGCGTGCCGGTGAAACTTCATTTACCAAAGTAGATGGCTTGGACTGGACTCACTAGCTGTGGTTTGCGCAGCCTGCCTGAGAGCACCGTGGACAGTTTTAAGGTTTGAAAGGGGGGACAAAGCCTGGTGATTGGATTCACTTGCTGGAAGGCTTGTAAGGAAGAATAGGCTAGTTTTAAGTTTTTTCCAAAATTCTGTATGCTGGTGAGCCTGTGGTTGTTAAGGCTATTGAGGCCAAGGGATCCCCCAGTGTGCTTTGTGTATGGGAAAACATCTTTCAGTTTACCTTGAACCCTGCAGTCCCTAAGGGGGAGAAAGAACAACGCTGCCAATTGTCAGTGCTGGCGGGGTGGGGGTGTGCACAATACAGTAGCCGCGGACGGCGGGATCTGCTGGAAACGGCTGGAATGTGCTGTCCTGCCCTAGGTCGTACTCCATGGCCGCTGGCCTGTCCGGGCCCAGCGGACACTTGTGAAAAGGGAATGCAGGCGTGCGGAGAAGGCGGTCCTCGGTGCGAAGCCCACTAGTGGTGCTGGCGTTGGTTGTCCCGGGCGTCCTGAGGGCTACTGGGTCACATTGCGGAAAAGAGGAAACTGTCTTCCAGCTAAAACCTTCTTTTTAGTGGACACGTGACCTCATTTCTAGAACCTCGCCCCTGTTGCCGTCCGTGTTCTCTTTACCTTGGGTGTGGTGGGGGCTCCGAGGGGCAAGGATGCGCGCCATCCTTCTGGCTCCGCGTCAGCGTTACGCGCATGGAACGCTGAGCCCGGGAGGGCCGGAGAGACGGGCTCCGCAGCACGGTGGTCACGTTCTCGGCAGGGCGTCGCCCTGTCCTCACGCGGCCGTACTCACCGCGCCAGCCCCTGGGCCCTGGGGTCGCCGCAGGCACCGCTGTGGGTCTTAGCGGCCACACCACGTGGGGGCGCGGTCTGGACGGCGAACCTGGGCCCCTTGGCTGTCAGTCTTGCTGAAGGACTTCGGCCGGACAGACATCTGGGGGCAAAGTCGGGTCAATGTTGTGCAGCTGAAACCCAGCTTCTCTCCCACGTGTCACAGTGCCTCTGAATTTTTGCCTTCGATCGTTGTCACCCCACTGCCCCCCAGCATCCATGATGTGGCTTCAGGCAGTGAGGGTTTTCATCCGTTTCCCCAGATGATTCCGGTGCAGGTGACCCCGGGGGTCACGCCTGTGGAGGATCCGCTCACCTCCACCAGCTATCGGACAGAGAAGGAATACAAATGACTAACGTCTGTAATTTGTGGGTTTCCTCTAGATTTGGAACTGTGTAGTTCTAGACAGGAATGGTCCCTTGGGAGTCCTCTCGTGGACTAGGCAGGAGCTGGCCTGGCAGAGTAAGTGACTTGCCCGTGAGCACCCAGATAGCCACTGGTGTAACTGTAAAAGTGACCCCGTCTTCTCCCACATCTCCGTTAAAAATAGTGTGCCATATTCCCTCTTCGCATCTTAGCATCACCTGCGGCCTAATGGTGTGCCGTGCGGGGCCAGAGTCTTGCGTGGCATTATTTCTAAGGTAGGAGTGATGGAGGAAGCCCTTTTCGATGGCAGAGCCTTTAGGGAGGTCCAGAGGGCAAGGTGGACATCGCTCCTCCGTTTGAGGGGTCCTCGCGGCTTCAAGTCACAGCTCCTGACGTGTTCCGCTCCCTGCCCTGTCGGAGTTAGCAGTAATGCCCTAACGCACTTGATGGCATAAGTGACATGTGAACTAGTGTCCTCTCACATGCGTGTGAGAACATGATGTGTGTTACATCAAAGAGCTCTACCCTTACAACGTTCAGTCTTTTCCATGGGGGGAGCTAAGGCAGGCGGTAGACAAGGCGCACGGAGAGGAGGGCATTCAGCAGAGGAGTGGAAGGCAGCTTTGGTCACTGACCTCTGCTCGGCTCCGGTTGTGGTCTTGGCGGGGTAATGCTCGTTCTTCCCCTGAGCGGGTGCGCGACCTTGGTAATCATCTGTGTCTGTGGTAACGTGGACGCCGAGGTAGACCAGGCCCCTGCCGTCTGTAGAAACCCCCGTGTTCCCAGAGGGTTAATTGCACTTGTGTGCTACGCTGTTTTCCACTTTAACCTTCGTGGTTCATATCTGGGATGATTTTGTGCCTGGTATAGTAATTTTTTAAAAATTATTTATCTTTAGAGGGGAGGGGAAGGGAAGGAGAGAGGGAGAGAAACATCAGTGTGTGGTTGCCTCTCGTGCGCCTCCTGCTGGGAACTGGCCTGCAACCCAGGCATGTGCCCTGACTGGGAATTGAACCAGCAACCCTTTGCTTCGCAGTCCTGTGCTCGATCCACTGAGCCACACCAGCCAGGGCTGGTATGGTAATTTTTCATTCTACTCTTTTCAGAGAAGTAGGACTTGTTTAAAAATATTTTTGAATCTTTTAATTTTCTTGTTTTGATTAAAATCACAGTGCAACCAGAAATGTATAAACAATTTTAAAATAAATTTGTTTTGATTTAATATGCAAAGGGATCTACGAAGGTGAATAATAATATCAAAAGAAGAGCTTAGACTATAATAATAACTTAAAAGTAAATTTTGAACCTAGAAGAGTATTTTCATTTTAAATTCCGTGGTCATAGAAAATTTTACATTTAACTTCAAGTTATCAGTTTAAAAAGTTACATAAAATGTGTGTAATTTCAGATCTTATTTATTCTGCTATTTGGAGTTGGAGAACACAATTACATATGCTTTTACTTAAAATAACTATGATTTGGGAAAGAAATTATGGTTGTGTGTTCCAAATGAGTGAATAAGTGCTCACATCTTAAATGTTAGCCAGTGCTTTTTTAGGATTGCTCTCAAACTGATCTATATTAGATACAACATTGCTCTTCTTTTATTTTAGGAATTTGAAGATAATTTTGACGACGAGATAGATTTCACACCACCAGCAGAAGATACGCCCTCCGTCCAGTCCCCAGCAGAAGTGTTCACACTCTCGGTCCCAAGTGTCTCACTGCCAGCTCCGTCCCAGTCCCAGCCCTCTGCAGGTGAGCCCTGTCCTGCTGCCGCGTTTTCCCGGGCCGTTTCTGAGAGGCGGGCCTGGGAACCTTGCTGCCGATCATAAAATAGTTGGACTCTCCGTCTCCTCTGGGGGGCCTGTCTCTCTTCCTTCTGCTCCTTGCTGAGGCTGAGCGGTCAGGCCCGTCGCATTCCCGCAACCGCTGAGTCCTTTCCTTCTGGACTCCGGATGTGCTCTGAGCGCACACCGGCCTCCTCAGTTCACTCAGGCGGAGGAGCCCTTGGACAGAGCCCCTGCGCCTGCTTCAGTGGCCCGCGTCTCCCCTCACCCTCTGCACTGGGTGTCTGGCTGAATAGGCACGGCTGTCCTCTGGTGTGTCCTGTGTTGGGGGGAGGGCATACTTGGGTTTGTTAGTCAGATGGACTTTTCATCTTACCGTAGGGAGGGACAGTCCTTGGGGTTCCGCACTCCACCACAAAACAGGGCTACGTGCAGGTCAGTGGGATGGTGACAGGGGTCACAGTCGGGTAGGTGGACCAGGAAAAACCAGCGCAAGTCATTAAAGCATCAGGGAGGGATAGTCGTCCAGAGTGACCGTCAGTGTTAAAGCGTGGAGCCGTTTTTTGGCGCCGTGGTTTGAAACAGATGTTTTATGTATCTGTTTCTCCCTTTATTCGCACGAGCGTTATGTTCATGTTAGTACTTGCATTTTATAGGTTGTGTAGTTACCATTGAATTTATTTCAGTTAAATATTTATATTTAGTTTTAACGTTTCTTTCTTTTTCCTGCAGAAGGTTTGAAGTCTCAAGTTGCTCGCCACAGTCTAAACTATATACAGGAAATTGGAAATGGCTGGTTTGGAAAGGTGAAGTATTGTCCACTTTTATTTTTTCCCCTTCTACTTAGACTGTTTAGAATGTAAAGCTAATTGAGAATTGTACTGTGTGATGTTCCACGTTCTCTGTAGACACTGTAGTCCCCACTGAATTTCCCCATTGCCCTCTGAAGCCTCATGGGCGTGTGAGCTTCAGCGTTCCTGGGTGGTAAGTTGTTCCAAGGGGGTCTTTTGTTTATGTATCAGAGACTTTTCTAATTGTTGGCATAGGAATAGTGCAAGGGGCCCTGGCTGGCATGGCTCAGTGGACTGAGTGCCGGCCTGCAAACCGAAGGGTCACCGGCTTGATTCCCAGTGGGAGCACAGGCCTGGGTTGTGGGCCAGGCCCCCAGTAGGGGGCGTGTGAGAGGCAGCCACACATTGATGTTTCTCTCCTTTTTCTCCTTCTGTTTCTCTCTCTAAAAATAAATCAATAAAGCCTTATTAAAAAAAAAGAACAGTACAAAGGGAAAAGACACTGGCATTTTAGAAGCTTTTTATTCTCCTCAAATTAAATGATTTGTTTTTTCCTTCTCCTCTTCGCCTTGTGAGATTCTGTAACTGTGGACAGAAAGTATTATTACAGTGGGGAGCACTGCAGAGTTGTTCTGTTTCTCGTAGCCTCTCCAGCGGCCTGTGGTAACGGCACTTTGTTGACGGTTTTCCCGAGCGTTCAGAAGGAGTGGTTCCATCACAGCGGCGGTTTCCGTGACACCGCAGTCGTCCCCTGTGAACGGTCCCTAACTGGAGAGCGGTCGCATCGTGGGCACGGCGGTCACCGCCGGGAGACGCGTGTGCTCTGTAGCCGGCCGGCTTCCGCTCCTTGTCCCCACCCAGAGTTGTCTGCCAGGCCTGAGTCTTTCACGTCATCAGACCTCGGTGGTGACCGAAGCTTCCGAGCCATTTAGCGAAACCTTTGCTGTGCCTCACGTTGCTCTTGGTGCTGGGGGACGATGTGGAGGAGGCCGGGGAGCGCCGGGCACGGAGCAGCGAACCAGGTGGAGGCCTTGCCCTGACGCAGCTGCAGGTTGAGCGTGGGGGGGTGGTGGACGGTCAGGACGCTCGGCAGGAGGTGGCTGAGGGGTGTCGAGAGCCGGTGACGTGAGGTAGGTGTGCATCTGGCGGCTGGCTCGTACCCAGAATGAGATGGGGAAGTGCTCCAGGCTGGAGAGAGGAGGGGCGTGGGCTGGCTCTCCTTGTGAAGGGTCGCTCTGGCGGTTAGATGGAGAGGCCAAGGGGGCCACAGGGGAGCGGCCAGGAGGCCACCGCAGCCGCACAGGGAGAGAGCAGCAGGCTGGCGCCCGGATGGGCGGCAGCCTGGAGTGCGGAGGCGTGGGCGACCCACACAGGTTTTCAGATGAGAGTGTGTAGGACTTAGGCTGGCCCGGCTGTGGAGTCCAGAAACAGAGCAGAGTCCAGGATGACTACGCCTGGCCTGACGACAGGCAGGATGTAGCTGTCGATTTGCAGTGGCGGAGACGAGGGAGAAGCCGGCGTGAGGAGGCGGGGTCAGGGGCCGCCTCTGGGTGTGCAGGGCGTGCAGGGCGTGGGGCGCTCCTAGACGTTCAGGTGGAGACGGCGAGTGGGCAGCTGGGAATGCATTACAACACGCAGTTCAGGAGAGACACGCAGTTGGGGGAACTCAGATGTGGGTGGGATTTGAAGGCGTGAGCCTAGATGAGATCACGGGGAATGTGGACACGGAGATGGGGGTGGCCGGGGCTCGAGGGCTGAGCCCCGAGGCTCTGCAGCACGGAGAGGGGAACCCGAGCAGCCGCAGCCCGTGAGCGGGAGGAGGCGCAGCCGGCGGAGAGGCGCTCCAGGACGGTGAAGCACAGTGCACGCCCCTGCCGGCGAGCGAGGTGGAGGCTGCGGGAGCAGGGTCCCAGCACCTCGGGGTCCACGGCATCCTCGCGTGGAGGGGAGAAGGGGCAGCCCGCACGCTCAGACAGCTCTGTGGAGGAGCTTTATTCTGAAAGAGAGCAGAGAAATGGAGCAGGAGCTATGTGGGACCAACCAAGGGGTGGAAAGCCAGTGTTGTTGATGGGTTCAGGGGACGAGTTGGGCCCTTGTTGGACTGGACTGTTGAAGTGAGTGAGCTGGAAATGAAAGGACTGGTAGGGGGGTTAAATTTCAAAGTCTGGGACGAAATACAATGATGGCGTAGGTCTAGACCCATGGAGTCTTTGCTGAGGTGGGGTCCTAGGAAAGGGTTGCCGGGAGTGAGGTTGAAGATGCGGGCGGTCCCGGTCCCGGCGTCGAAGGACTTGTCCCTGCACCTGGCGAACGCCGGGAATGGGGGGGCAGGGGCGGGGAGGGGGGCAGTGGGCCAGTTACTGCGGGAGTCCACGGTCACTCTTCTCCTGGCCCGGGGTCGGTGTCCTGCGGGCGTCGGGCTCACGGCCCGGCACGAGGCGGCTCTCCGAAACAGGGCGTGGCTCCGTCAGTGGTCGGGGTTCCCGTTCTGTTCTGTTGTGTTCGCCTGTCTGCCCTGGTGGTCCTAGTGAGGGCATCACGTTCCGTCCGGGTTTACAGTCCTGGTTCCAGGGCGTCACAGTGAGTCCAGGTCATAAAGAGATGAACCGTTTTAAAAGGAAACCTCTCGTTTTGATGATCCTCCAATTAAATAAAAACTTCTACTTCATTTTTGTTTTAGATATTGTGTTTTAGAATGCCTTTTCATTGTCCTATATTATATTTAATATTTCACTTGTAACTTGTACTTTTTTCATTTTTGTTTGTGTTCTGTTAGTTTCACTGCCATATTCCTCCCTAGAGTTTTCTTTTTTAATATACTTTATTGATTATGCTATGACAGTTGTCCCATTTTCCCCCTTCACTCCTCTCCACCCTGCATACCCTCTCCCACCCACATTCCCCCTCTTTAGTTCATGCCCACGTGTCGTAAGTTCTTTAGCTTCTACATGTCCCATACTATTCTTACCCTCCTCCTGTCTATGTTCTACCTACCATCCATGCTACTTATTCTCTGTACCTTTTCCCCCCTCTCTCCTCCCCCCACTCCCCTGTTGCTAACCCTTCCGTGTGATCTCCATTTCTGTGCTTCTGTTCCTGTTCTAGTTGTTTGCTTAGTTTGCTTTTACTTTTGTCCCCCCTAGAGTTTTCACTAAGGTTCTGGTACCAGATAAAGGCCTGGAATAATTGGAATGCCATGGAATTTTGGCATTACAATGCAGTGATGATTTGTTTGCCCTTGGCTGTTTGCCAGTTTACTTTCTCTCATGTGAGGAAGACGTACTCAGTTGAGGTGTTTTTGAGAAACATTTAAGTTATGTTTGAACTGAACTTATAATTACTCTTCTGTAACACCGTTGGTAGTTTCCATGAAAGTGTAATACATTTTTAAGTACGTAGAAAAGAAACACACATAAGCACACAAATGTTGGAAATATCTGGTGGCTGGTTTAAAATTGAAGGTGGTATTTTGCTTCCCACACCTTTTGTGAGGTAGTATTTAAAATAATAGAAGGCCATCTGCTTGTTGCTTAATTTATTTTCTTGTATGCCATTTCCTAATAAGTGAGACAAACTTTTTGACCATTTTGATGGAAGTGAAATGAAAAACTGTTCTTTGGTTCTAGGTCCTCCTCGGAGAGATTTACACAGGCACTAGCGTAGCGCGGGTGATAGTGAAGGAGTTAAAAGCAAGTGCGAGCCCAAAGGAACAAGATACCTTTTTGAAAAATGGAGAACCTTACTAGTAAGTAACCTTTAATGTACGTGTTGTAAGCATAGTCTGTGGTCTTTTGAAAATCACCGTGTTTAAGAATACTTTGGGACTGTGTTGCAAGGTATTTGAATGTCAAGTCACCATACTGTACACCTGAAACTAACGTAACATTGCACGCCAACTGTATTTACACTGAAGGGACGGAGGGAGGGAGGGAGGGAGATAGGCAGGCAGGCAGACACGTCAGGCGGGGGCTACAGACCTGGGTGTTCCTGGTCAGGGAAACAACGGCACTGGACTCGCCAGGGTTCTGGGCGACAGACGGATTCTGTGACGCTGAGGGAGGACGAAAGACCGAGACGTGTCAGTCAGCAGGACACGGGGGACCCGAAGGAAACCCGGCCTCGACGTCCCAGGCGGCGCCTTCTGGTTGTTGGTGCCCCTGTCACAGGTGACGGGTGGCAGTACGCTCATTCCGGAAGTCCCCCTCTCTCTTTGTGGGCAGACTGCAGAACTTCATCCAAGAAACAGTATTTTAAACCCGTCACTTAAAATTACAACGTCGCTAGACCTAAGAGTATCTTATCTGGGCCAAATAAGTTTGCCTTTAAAAAAACCAAAATATTTCTTAAACCCCCAAAAACCTAACTTTGAAATTTCTGCTTGCCAAATACACACTTTAAACAAGACCCAGGGTTTCATAACACAAGACTCAGACCGAAACGTCCCTCGGGAGGTGCGAGGTTCAACGAACCGACACCTGGACCCGCGACTGCCCTTGGCTGTGGAAAGGGGTGGTCGGTCCACACGGCCACCCCGGGGCCGTCGTGGGGGCGCTGTGTCGAGTGAAAAGTCAGTGTCCAGGGGCCACGTGCCGTGTCACAGTCACATGACGATCTCCAAGTGAGAACGCTGCAGGGACGGGAGCCAGGCCGGCGCAGCCAAGGCTTCGGAATGGCGAGGCGGGGGTGCGGGGCGGTGGCTGGGATAGTCCCGAGGGAGGCTGGGGGCACCTGTGTCGTGATGGAGCACCTGTGTGTGTCCGCTGAGGTGGCGGTCGTGCAAATGTGTGTGCGTGGTAGACCACAGGACACAGAAGTATGCGCAGGCGTGGGGTGCCAGTGCCCTGGTTTCGGCGGTGCACTGCAGTTGTCACATGCAGCCTGGGGACACTGGGGGAAGGGGCCGTGGGGTCTCTGTACGCTGTCTTTGTAAATTACTGGTACTTCATAATTGCTTCAAAATAAAAAGCTCCTTAGAAGACAATTTTGGCCTATCTTTTAAAAAAACTTTCTTTTGGACAGAATATTTCCTAAAAAGAGATTGCATGTGCTGTGGAAATTTATGGAAATAGTATATAAGCTAGATAGCACAAGGAGTAACTGGGTTATTTATTTAATATATGGATCAAAATGCTTATTATATTTGTATATTTAGCCTGCCTTTTTAAAAATGATGCTTCAAAGTGATAATCTGTAAATATAAATTACTAAAATTAGAGGGTCTTCTGATAGTTCTGTTTTGATTTTTGAAAATGTTCACCTGATTGGCTTTGAATTATTTAATCATTAGGTAACAATAAATCTGGTAAGTTAATATGCTCTTTTCAGCTTAGCGTATTTAAATCACTATGAATGTTAAAATTTATTGTTGGAACGGTTTTACCGGCGTGCCCTCTCACTGACGGTGCCGTGCCTGTTTTCCCCAGCATCCTTCAGCACCCGAACGTCCTGCAGTGCGTGGGGCAGTGTGTGGAAGCCATCCCCTACCTTCTGGTGTTCGAGTTCTGTGACCTGGTAAGCTTCTGGCAGAGGGCCAAGGTCGGGCATTTGGGAGGTCCGACCCACGTGTTTTTGACAGGCCGGAATGCTGGGTGGTGGGCTGCTTTCACTTCCGTCCCCCGTTTCAAGAACTTAATGAAGTGTGTGTTCCTTACCCTTGATGATAGTGTTGTTTTATTTTATTTTATTTTGAGAATATTTGTCCTTTAATTGGCATTTACAGTCAGTTTCTTTACATATTTCAGTGACAAGTTCCCCGTGTTTTGTGTTTCATTCCTGTGTAAGCCATTTGCACGCAACACCACATTTAGTGATATTTCTGCACACTTTACGTCCGAGTGAAACAAGGCCCGGGGGGATTGAGAAACCGCCTGCGAGCGTCTGGCAGGCCCAGAGCCCGGCTCCGGCTCGCCCTGCCTGAGGGCCCGAGGCCGTGCCTTCCGCGAGGCGTTTCCCGCGCTCTCCCCGCTGAGCGCGCCCGGCAGCCCATGACCCGCAGAGCGCCCTCGGCCTGTCCGTTAACGGTAGTGTGTGTTTGTAACATTTGTGTTTGTTCTCCAGTGACTAGACGATTTGTTTTCTTATGTGAAAGTTTCCTGTAAACATCTTTTATTAAGTTTAGGTTTTGATTGATTTCTCTGTATTGTCTCAGTTTTCAGAACATGGGGCTTCCTTGACCGAGTGCAGAAAAGTGGGAGTACCCAAAATAGATCCCCAAGTGATTCAGAGAGTATTTTTCAGCTGGTGAAATTGGGAAAGAGCAGTAAACACTGTGAATTTTTGTGTTGATTCCTAGACATCATTTGAATATTACTCTCATCGGCAGAGGTAGCTAATTCTAAAGAAAAACTGTTACTGAACTGAGTACATCGGCTTTCATTTGGTCATGGTCTAACGGCCAGCCCATCTCGGAGGCGGGAGGGAGCAGAGTGGCCCGTCTCGTCTTCCGTGTTACCCTGGCTCCGGGCAGCCGCGGATCCGCTCCCGGCTGCGTTTCGTTCATCCTCCCCTCAGAGCCGCGTTTCCTTGTGTCTGTAGATGCTCGGGGGGGGGGTGGCTGGGGATGTGTGTTCTGGCGCTTTGTACAGTGTATCTCTGCGGCTCTTATGGGGCAAGTTTATAAGGTGCATAAAACAGTGATTGCTCCTCAAAAAATTAAAATAGAATTACCATAGGGTCTAGCAGTTTCACTTCCAGGTACGTAGAATTGAAAGCAGGGTCTTGAGACCTTCGTGCACCGTGTTTGTGGCGGCGTTACTCACGGCGGCCAAGGTGGAGAAGCAGCCCGCGTGTCCACAGACCGCCGAGGAAGGACCAGGCTGGGCGTGTCCACGCAGTGTTACCCTACTGTGCTACGGGAATAAGCCAAGCCACAGAAGACCAACACTGTGTGGTCCCCCTTAATGCGGCATCTGAAGCGGCCAGACTCGGAGACAGAGGGGGGAAGGGTGCTCGCCGCGGTCTGGGCGGAGGGCGGAGGGCGGAGGGCGCTCCCCTTTGGGAAGGTGTGCAGAGGGTTCTGCTGGCCGGCGGCGCTGGCCGCGGCCGCACGCGGTGTGAGCGCACACTGCGCTCCTGGACTGTACCCTTAGGAATGGGTAAGGTAACCGTATGTTATGTGTTGTGCCACCATTTTTAAAACATTGGTAGTTGCCTACTATTAGTTAAAGTGTCGTACCAGGTGTTACTTCCATTAGGAGGAAGCCAGAAATTCCCAGATTTCCTTGGGAAATCTGTCTGTCAGTGCTTGGAATGTCTGGTCTCCTGTCAAAGTCAAGGCCTTTAATCCAGGGCTCCTACCACCGTGCCGTGTGGCGAGAGGTCACCTTTGTCTCCTCGGGCAGTTTTGTGCTCATCACCCCTGGGCCCCGGTCAGCCTCAGAGGCTCTCCCGCGGCGAGGACCGGGCCTCGGCAGGCCGCCTGGCTCTGAGGCCGGGTCCGTAGGCTCCGTGTGTGCGAGACCGCATGTCCGGGACGGTCGGGCAGGGTCGGAGGGCCTGCCCGGGAAGAGGGGCGCCACCCAAGGCAAAGCCACCCGCTTGCGAGGGTCCGGGGGACAGAGGGTTGTGGCCCTGGCCCGGGAACACACAGCTCCAGCCGCAGTGAAAGGAGCCACTATCTTTCGTGCTCTTAGTGGGTCAGGAGCTACTGAATGAGCCGCGGCCTTTTCAGCTGTTACCGGGCGGAGATCTTGCTCGACGATAACACCTCCTGAGCAGAAAGGGGAGAATATTTTTGCACTTACTTAAGTAATTCCATGTAAGGTAGAATTACCAGTCTGTTTTTCAAAGCACTTTATCTTAGAATTTTTATGAAAGAAAGTGAGAGCTCTTGCGAGTGTGGCAGCTGGACCGAGGCCGCTGGGGCGCTGTGCTGCCGAGTGCGGTGGCTGTGGGGGGACGGCGAGCACGGCTTGTCACCGCAGGAGAGGCATGCAGCGCGTCGCCGGAACGGGGGCGCGAGGGGACTGTGTTGGGGTGAGGATCACTCACGCGGCACCTGTGAAGTGCAAGGCGCCCCGGGGGCGGTGGCACACGGGTGAGTCACCCTGGCCCCCGCCTGTCCTGCCTGTCGCGCCAGCAGGCCTGCCTTCAGCTGCTCCGTCTGCCACCTCCTTGGGGATCAGTCTCCTCGGGACGCTGCCTGAGCTCCTGAAGCCTCAGTTCAGACGCCTGTGCAGTGGGGACAATACTGTCTGCCCCACAGACCACTCTGACCATCAGTAAGAGGAGCAAAAATTGCTGGGCACATATAGTAAGTGCTCAAGGAATGATATTTTTTTCATTTTTAGTTAAGTTTATTGCTCATAATTAATTATTTGGTAAAGGTTTGAATAGTGTGTGTAGAAGAAATCTAACTAGAAACCCTAACTAGATTCGCAGGGGAAGGCTTTGCAAAGGAAATGTGTTTGGTCTGAGAGTGGAAGAGTGAGTGGGTCGACTTCCTGGGCAGGAAACGACAGCAGGAGCCGCGTGCCCCAGGCGGGGAGGCCGACGGCGCGTGGCCGTGGGGAGCGGCCGGCGCTCCCGTGGGCGTGGAGTGCCGTGCGAGCAGGAGCAGTCTGGCATCTGTGGGAAGGATCGGTTGGGTGCAAAGCATCGGCAAACCCCTTCGGAGGCCAGACTGCAGGCTGAGGTGATAGGACGCAGGTTAATTAAACTGGGCTCCGTCTTCATGTTTCTGCTTCCCCCAGGCCTGGGCCCGCGGCCCTGGCTGTTGGGGGCAGGCTGTCCCGACTGCTTGTGGCCAGGCCCTTCCTGCCCTCCCCGAGGCCTGCGCCCCTGTACCCTGGGCCTCCCGAGCCTGCCTCCTCCATGGCACTGCCCGCCTGCTCTGGCCACGGAGGCTGTGCCCTCCCTCACCTGGCAGGTCCTCGCTGCTGGGGCACCGAGGCGCACACCTGGAGTTGGCGCCGGGCGAACACCAGGGAAAGAAACTGCGATCTCTTTAGGGTTTTTGACGTCGCTCCTGGAAAACTGAATTGTACGTGTGGCTGGCACCCTGTTTCCGTGGGACCGCTCTGCTCTGTGCTGTCCCCTGACGTCATCTCTAGATTGAGCGCACCTAACACAGCACAGGTGCTGTGTGTGCTCCTTACACGGTGCGGGCTGGGGAGCGGTAACACGGGGGAAGGGCTGCGCGTTCAGCTCCGGTGCAGCCATGTGGGCCTGACTACACAGTCCTGTCAGCAGCAGGGGGACTGTTCCCCTGAGTATTTTTGGTCTGTGGTCCAGGTGTGCAGATGGGGAACCCGTGGATACCGAGGGACGACTCTGTTTGCCAAACTTGTGCTGTTCCAGGCTCTGGGGACAGGGAGCCAGACAGTCCCAGCCCTGTGTAGCTTATTTCTGGTGGGAAGGGCGGACAAGCAGACTGATAAGACTCCAGGTAGGACCAGGGGCGGCGTTCGGCCGTGGCTGCTCGGAGGAGGCAGGAAGGCCGCGCAGGGGCTGCTGCAGTGATTCTCGCAAGAGGGCGGTGACCACAGAGGAGTCCGGGAAGGGTGGTCTGATGCTGCCTGTGGTGTGGGAATAGAGCCAGGGCTCGGTGTTGGGTTGAATCTTGGCACCTGGAGGCAGAGCAAACTCAAGAATGGCGTCTTCGGTTTTGGTCTGATCCACTGGGAAAGCGGTGCCGTTTCTGAGAAGGAGCAGATTGGAGGAGTTTCGTGCGGAAGGTGTGAGGTTTGAGGTGCCTCTTAGGTCATCCAGGAGAGGGCGTCCAGTCAGCAGGTGGACACATGAGCAGTTGGGCTCAGGACACAGAGGGCTGGGAGATGTGTGTGAATGATTTTTTTTTCAAGCCACAGGGTGGGTGGAATCACCCGGGAATGAGTGTCATAGTGACCAGGACCAAGGACTGGGCCCTGAGATGCGCCAGCACTCACAGGTCGGCGAGAGGAGGAAGGTCCAGGAAAGGGCCCCGAGAAAGGATGCCCAGCGGGGTGGGAAGAAAGCCGGGCGGCTGGCGAAGGAGGGAATGCACCAGGGGCACGCACTTGGCAGAGGTGGTCGGCGATAGCTCCTGGGAGCAGCCGCAGCTGAGCATGGGGGCCGGGGAAGGAGGCAGTGGAGTTGGGGGACGAAGGGTTTGCACGAGAGAGTGGGGGGCCAGGAGGAGGAGCAGCTAGAACACAGCAGGCTTCTGAGGAGGTTATCGGGGAAGAGGGGAGTGGGGGCAGAGGAGGCCTGTTTGGTTCTCTGTTGGATTCCCGGAGAGGTGTAGGGGCTTTAGAGAGTCGGAAGGGATGGGCTCACCCAGGACTGGGCTTAGGGCGGCCCCGTGACTACGGCAGCAACGGGGGGGGAGGTGGGTGGGGGCAGGTGGGAGCTTGAGTGGTGTGCGGAAACAGAACTCGTGGGGGGAAAAGGGCCTGGGGGGGGGGACAGGGCCGGTCCTGGGGCTGCAGCTGTGATGCTGATGGTGTGTCTCCTGGCTGCTGCGTGTGTGGCCACTCATTTATCCTTCCGGGCAGTTTTCTGTTAAAAAAAAATGATAGCCCTCCCCCACCCCCCAAATCATCCTCTTAAACATAACTGAATTTTCCGTTATAAAGCTACGTAATTGTTTGGTTTTTACATTGTATTGAAATTAATTCATAGTCCTCAGTGTCCTGCAAAAACCGGGATAAACCCTCATGGCAGTTCATGCTGGAACTGAAGAGGATGCTGCCGAGCGGCCCAGGTTAAAGGTCGGTTGCCCAGGAACGACTCACTCCCGGAAGTGGTTCCCGGTGGTTCTGTGGGCTGAGCTCTTAGCGCAGCGCTTCGCTGCCCCCTAGTGTTGCACATTTTTCTTTTCTTTTCTTTTTTTATTCAAGTACAGTTGTCTGAAATTTTTCTTTTCGAGGTTTTTGAGGCTTTGGGGGAGGATCTGGATAAAGGAAACTATTTTTCAGAATACATTGCTGTTCTTAACTGTTGCTGTGTTTTTAGATAGCGGACTGAAGCAGTAATCCCTGACTACTCACTACACATCATTAAAATACCATAAAACAAACCAGATACTTAAATACAGCTTTGTTTGGGACGGAATGAATCAGTTGGTAGTACTTGCTTGATATGAACGTTTTTATTGTGATGAAAGCGTTTATGCTGATTTTTCGTTTCAATGGAGAGCTCTCAAGGGTCTTCCCAGAGCACAGCTCGGACCCTGGGTCCCGTGCGGTGCAGGGCAAGCCTCGCCCGCGCTGACGGTCACTCCCCCCAGCCCCCCACCCCAGGTCCGAGGAGTGCTGCCTGGACAGCGCTGACTTCGTGCCCGATGGGTGTGGGAGGCTGGCGTGGCTGCCAGGCTGGGAACACACGGAGTGTGAGCGTCAGAGAGCCGGGTCTTCGGTTCGTTACGATTGCCTTCTACTGAAATCTGGGGCGTGGGGTCAGTTGTGGGGAGGGGGTATTTTAAGAACCGTGGGTGGTAATGAATATACTTCAGATAACCTTGAAAAACAAGGACACCCACCCTGCCTTTGTGGCCAGAGTCACTTGTGCAGTGCTGCCGGCTTGTCAGCAGCTCCCGTTTGTTTTGGGAACCAGCCAGACACAGCGCAGTGCGATCCCACCTTCGCGTGAGGGCAGTTTCTGCCTCAGCTAGTTCTGGAAAGGGCTGGGCAAGTGGATTTCTCGCCATGTCAGTGGTAGTATAAATAAATTAAGCTATTCATTTTCCCATGTAGCTTCCTTACAGCCTACCTTATAAAAGTCCCGTAGCCAGCAGGCCTGGAGTTCTTTGCTGTAGTGTTTCTGGGTTAATTTAATTGTCATCCAAATGTGTCTTCATTCCCATCACTCCCCCTTGCTGGTCAGAGCTTAGCCCCGGGGAAGGAGGAGGGAGGAAGGGTGGGTGTCTTGCCCTGGAGCAGCCTGGGGGGAAGCTGGCGTGGGGAGGAAGTGGGTGGGTGGGTGCGCGCACTGGACGGTGGAGTCGATCGCTGTTGCCCCAGCAGAGAAGTCCCGCTGAGTGGAGGGGGCGGGGTCCTGCAGGCCCTGCGATCGACTTGGAGTCGTTGACACTCCTTCGCACCACATAAACCGACTAGATCTGCGTTGCAATCACTTCTCCAACACACCAAATAGAACTTTCTGGATGAGTTGGTCAGCTGAAAGGAAGTACAGCCCCACCACTTATTATTAGCTCTGTGGCTTTGGGCAAATTTCTTAACCTCACTAAACCTCAGGTCCACACCTGGAAAAATGCTTGAAATTGTAAGGATTACTTGGGGTCACGAGTGTCAAAACGGGCCCAGTGCTTGGCACACTGCTCAGAAACTGCAAGGGCGCCGGTTCCCCGCCAGCGCTGTCTCTCCCGGGAGAGCGTGGCCGCGGGGGAGCGGGCATGTGGGTTCGTGGACTGGGCCCGGACGCCGCTCCAGAGTGTCCTGGGAGGTCAGTGTGGGCCGATGCTTCTGAAGGGGTGCTGTGTCTTCAGGCTTCACTCCGAGAGGAAGCTGATAAATGGACTCTCTTGGTAACAGTTGTAAGAGATGAATTCTTCTGTTGGTCAAGGCAACTTCCTTCCTCGTGAGTCTTTTCCTGACTCAGATACAAAGAAAATGGAAAGCTGTTGGCCTTCTTTCTAAATTTTATTAACTGATTATATAAAGCTTTACTTTGGAATTAAGTCACATCAATAAATATTTAATCACACGGTAAGGAGAATGCTGAAGATTCGTTTCCTCAGAAGTGCACTCCCCAAAACGCGCAGTCCCCGGCCGGAGAGAGCTGCAGCCGCGGCGTGAAGACGGGAGGGGCCGCGGGAGCCGTGGCGGGGGCTCCAGGTGGGAAGGTCTGCGTGGGCCTGTCCACGTGTGAGTCTGCCGGCTCTCCCGGCCACGCTGCCGTCCTTTGAGGGGGCCATCTCGTGGACTTTTCTGGAGGGACCGGAATGTTCTTACTCACGGCCGCCTCTGCGTAACACAGGGTCGGAGGAGGCCGGCAGACAGCCGAGGCAGCTGGCACCAGTGCCGTGCACGCCTCTCCCTCCCTCCGTCCGCCGCGTCCCCTTCCGTGCACCCCCTCCCCCCCTCCCTCCGTCCCTCCCCCGGTGCTGAGCCCTCTTGGGGGCGGGGCCCTGATCGCCCGTCCCCTGGCATCCTCGAAGGTGCGCTCTGACGGCTCCGTTTCTGTTGGTCTCTTGTCACCTCCCAGTTACCTGGGAATCTCTGTACTTCACTCAAGTGTGCGTCGTTGTGAAATTACCTGTTTTTACTGTTTTGTTTTATGTGTTTATATAACAGAGATAAGCTGGTGTTTAACTTAGTTAGAGCGGCCCTCACAGGTGAAGCGTGTTTTCTGTGCCCTTGAAGTATTTGGTTGAAGCATTTTGTAATTTGGAACTTGTTCAGTCTGACATTCTTTATTAAGTTAAAGCTAAGTAATTTTTACTAAATAATCGTGGTAAGTAATGTCAGTGATGTCAGTCCAGGCACATGCTCAGTTGCCGATGTGTCTTCTCCCTTTGAAACCCACCGGGCCGATCTTTGCAGGGCGACCTGAAGGCCTACCTGCGCAGCGAGCACGAGCACATGCGGGGCGACACGCAGACCATGCTGCTGCAGAGGATGGCGTGCGAGGTCGCCGCGGGGCTGGCCGCCATGCACAAGCTGCACTTCCTGCACAGGTGGGTCCGTCCGGGGGCGCCTCGCGCGCGTGTGGGGTCGCGCTGGAGGGGCGGGGCCCTGTGTCCACGCCCGACGCTTCGGCAGGTTTAAGATGGAGGGGCTGCCCCGTGCTTCCCAGCTTCAGAGTCAGGGGCGAGCCGGGCTCCGTTTAAACCGCACCAGGGAGCAGGGTGTGCAGCCCAAGGTCCGGAAACCATTTCCCACATTTCAAACAGTGCACAAGTCGTACATCGCTCAGTGTTGGGAAGGAACAGCCCCAGTCTCCCTCGTGACGTCCCGATGTGTCCTCATGTCCTCTTCGGGCTCTGGTTCTAACGCTGGGCCTCGCGGTGTGTCCCAGGGACGGCCCCAGTGACGGTCCTGGGAGAGGAGGAGAGGACCTGATGGGTTCCCGCCCTCTTCTTGTATAAGGTCAGAGAACTGGTCTCTGGCCAGCACGCTGAGGGGCCTGCCCCTGTGGGCTTGCAGGAGGTCAGGGGTTGCGTGAGCAGCACAGGACGAGCTTCTCTGGAAACCTTTCTGGTCCTACGCTCAAGTCGCCGCAGCTGCGCAGAGCACAGCGCGTTCGGCTGAGGTCATCGGTGCAGTCTCCGCAGTCAGACAGCAGAGGGCGGGCGTGCAGTCCTGCCCGAGAGGGCGGCTCTGCCCCGCCTCCGGTAGTGTTCGGGCTCTGGTTCGCGCTCACGATGTGAGTAAAACTACTTCTCGGGGCTCCCGGGGAACCAGGCAGTGTCTCTTTAGTCGAGTTTAATTAAGTCATTTAATTTTTAATCCAAAGGCTTGAAAAGGAACACCTGTGTGTATCGACGTGAAGAACTATCTATGAGTTATTACATTTTTAAAAAGCAGGATGAACTGGGATGTGTTTATAGAATAACTTTTTATTTTTTGTTTTTAGAGAAGGGAGAGAGAGGGAGAGAAACATCAGTGTGTGGCTGCTTCTCACACACACACACACCCCACTGGGAACTGGCTCACAACCCAGGCATGTGCCCTGACTGGGAATCAAACCTTTTTTTTAAGATTTTATTTATTCATTTTTAGAGAGGGAAGGGAGGGAGAAAGAGAGAGAGAGAGAGAAACATCAATGTGCAGTTGCTGGGGGTCATGGCCTGCAACCCAGGCATGTACCCTGGCTGGGAATCAAACCTGCGACACTTTGGTTTGCAGCCCGCACTCAATCTACTGAGCTACGCCAGCCAGGGCACTTATTTTATTTATTTATTTTTTTTAAGAAAACACTTTGGTTGTATTTGTTAGAGGAGTGTGTGTGTGTGAACGGACATGGAAAAGTACCTATCAGATTCTCAGCATTACTTCAGAGTGGGGAAGGAGGGGCATTATTAAATTTTTTCTTACACATCTATACAAATTGACCTGCATAGTGAACAAACCATTCTGAGAAAATGCTTTTTAAAAGATCCAAAAGATTATGGGTTTCTTTGGACTCCCTTACACAAAACTTCTGAGTAGAAAGATCTGCTCGTTTTGTGATGCAGCAAGCTTACGTTTTGTTTCATAACAAAGCTTTGTTTCATCACAACCTCTCACAACAGGTAGTGCACAACATGTTTGCATTGTTAACCTTCCGTTAAATACAGATGACGATTACCGAGGTCGTAGTGTAGGAGCGTTCAGGTTCCAGAGGACGGCGCGCTGGAGAGGAGTGTGTCGGAACCAGCGACACACAGCTACCGAGGAGCTAGAAACTGTGCATGCAGCCCAGGTCCATTTTGACTTGTATTTTAAAAATCAGCAAAGACGTCAGAGGAAATGTTATTCTCCTGTGAGATTTTTTCAGGTTAAAGTTTTACTTTATTTAGAATCTTGTGAACTTTAGAACAAATAAAGATGATAAATTAGATCACATGGTTTGGATTTCATTCAGGTAAAAAAAAACTCAAGGGAAAGAAGGTTCTTGAAGCCATTGACAATGGTCTCATTTTGTTTTAAAAAGTAGCCATATTTTATGTGAAATTTCCATATGGGACAGAATTTGGGGCTTTTGGGGTTTTTTTGTTGTTGTTGTTGGTAGCACACTGTAGAGCATTTTTGAGGTTGGGATTTAGAATATCTGCTGGCTGACTCAGAGTCACACTTTCTGTGTTGGCTGGAAGTAGAACAGCCCATGTGTCCAGCTGAAGCTGCTAGCTGCGCTTGGAAACGGACGTAGTGCAGCGCCCCGAGCAGGGCTCGGCTTTGCTTGTTGTTTACGGAGAGACCTGTGCCCGGGTCTTAGGCAGCCTGCATTTCCTAAGCTGCGTATGGGCATTCGTGACATTCAGGGACTTCCAGGTACTTGGCTTGCCGGTTGTTACCGGGAATTCAGGTTACTCGGGAAAGTGTCGGCAGGTCACATATGTGGAGGTGTGGATGGCTCGCAAATGGCCGCGGTGACGTGGCGCTGTCTGTCACGGCGGCCCTCCTGCAGGTGGGTGTGGGTTGAGGGCCGTGGTGGCGACGCCTCCTGGGGACTGGGGTGGGGACTCCCAGTTCCTGCGTCGCCGCCGTGAGGGCTGAGCCAGGGCCCGGAGGGGGCCTTTCGGGCTGGATTGCTCGGCGGCCTCCCCTCCGGACCTGTCTTGCCACCGAAGGAGGAACACGCTGGACGTGTTTGCGTTCCCCGACCAGAGCCAGCCGCTGACGTCAGGAGTTATTCCTGCTGCTGAGGAGCTGCACCTCGTGGTGTTCTGGTCTCCACCTTCGCACGCTCTGGGCTTCAGAGAGTGTCTGTTTTTACCAAGTTTGAACCACTTGTAACATTCTGAGAACATTTTATATGCATTGTTGTTTCATCCTTGTAAAAACCTTGTGAGATGCCCTCGCAGATCCATCCCTGTTGCCTTTGCGGGGGCTCTGAGGCCCTGACATGTTAAGTGACTTGTCCAAAGTTACACACTCCTGGGTGGGGGGCTGAGACTAGTCCCCGGTCTGACTGTGGGGTGGGGGTGTTTGGAGTGGACCCGCCCCGTCACGCCACTGTCTCTGTCCTCACCCATTGCCTCCGGTTTCAGTTACGAGAGGCGCCCTCCTGTCCCCGAGACTGCCAGTGGGGCTGCATCGGAGGCTTGCAGTGCCTTTTAGCACGGGGCCCACAGGGCGGACGTTGCACGTGGCTCCCGACCTTCACACCTGCACCCTGGAGACCTGCAGTGACCATGCCTAAGGGGAAGAGGGGAAGCCGGGCACCGGGGCACCCGGAGTAGAAGGTGCTGGGCACTCTGAAAGGTGCTGTAGCCAGCCTCACTCCTGAGAGGACACCGGCTTTTCGTTCTGGCCCCAGGAGGCAGGGTGGGGAAGGCTGAGAAGGGTCTGTTTGTAGAGACTCCAGACGGCTCGTCAGTGGGGCTCAGTAGCAGAACCTGTGTTGGCACAACCTGCGTGCACCCTGCCCAGGGGGCAGCAGCCCACCTTAAAGCCTGCCCATGCTCCTGCCCTTAGGTGGCACACCACTTCCGCCGCCTTCCCTCCCTCTTTCTCTTCATCCCCCCGGCGGGCCAGTTCTGTTCTCCAGACTGGAAGTCTGCCTGTTGTTTGTGACACTGCAGTCGGGCGCCCGGGTCTTTCCCAGACACATCCACAGGCCTGGAGGCCTCTGGCCGGAACGCCGAGAATCACATGTAAGCAGAGGCTGCGTGGGGAGGCATCTCATGCAACGAATGGGAAATTAATTGGACATTCAGATCAGCACATTCACGTATTGTTGTCAATAGTTACTGGTGGCAGAAGGGTCAAAATGCTCTGGAGCAGTGTCTCGCCAGCTTTGTGACCCTGACAAAGTGGCCGCCATTCTCTGCACCTCGGTGGTCCTGTCTGTACACAGCAGTCACCCCCGAGGGTGGCCGTGAAGATTAGATGAGCCAGCAGCACACGCGAAGCACTTAGAGAAACGTCTGTGTGCAGTGAGTGCTTTGTAAATGCCGGCGCCGCTGTGTCACTGGGCCAGTGCGAGTGCCAGGCTGTCGCTGAATCGCGTCAGCGTCATTGTTGCCGCGTCACTCTCGTTGTGTTTGCACTTCAGACAGGCGAGCTCTGGAAATCAGAGTCTTCGAGAGTGAGAATTTAAGAATTAGTTCAAGTGTTTGATCTTCTGTAGTCACATAGAGACAGACTTTTTAAAAAAGAGTTTATTTGTAGAGGAAGGTTGTAGGGAGGGAGAAAGAGGGAGAGAAACATCGATTGGTTGCCTCTCACACACTCCCAACTGGGGACCTGGCCCACAACCCAGGTGTGCGCCCTGACCGGGAGTTGAACCGGCGACCTTTTGGTTTGCGGTTTGCTGCGTGATGCCCAACCCACTGAACCATCCCAATCAGGTCGGCAAACATCTCAAGTTGTGGACTCTAGAAATTCAGTTTCCGGTAACTTTTATTTGTGATTTGAAATTGTAAGTTAGTGTCCTTTTATGTTTTACTTCAGTGGCCTTGTTTGTATGCCACATGATGATTAAGAACATCCTACAGGCTAATGCCAAAGTTTTAAAAATTTAATGTTTTCTTCAAAAGAAGGTAATTTTTTCTTCTCAGATTATGTTTTTGAAAATCAGCTTGTACTTAAGTAAACTTCATAAGTAAATAGTTTTAAGTAACTCTTGAAAACACGCTCTTTACCTCCCTCGTGGGAGGCGGCATTTGAAGAGATGCAAGTGATGTGAAAAGGGCGGTCTCGTTGATGCCTGCACACCTCTGAAAAGGGGGTTCACAGGCGAGCGTGTTCAGTGATGTAGACGTGGGGGGGCTCGAAGCTGCGACTTGACTGATCTTCACTGGACTGTTCCTCCAGTAATACAAGTCAATGGCAAAAAAAAATAGGCAGTTTAGACAGTAGTGGTTTAGAATTCTTTCTTGGTCACTCTTGAAATAATAGGGAATGCACCATAACTCTGTCACTGGTGCAGGACAAGGTATAGGCTGTGGGCAGTGTTAATCTTAGCATGTTTAGTTGTTTGCGTAAATATCTGGTCACCTCCATTATTGAAGTCATTGAAACTGTGATATCCTTTTTTCTACACAAAAAAAGAATTTTAAAACAAACTATTAAGCAGGGAGCTCCACATTCTACTCTGAGTACTGGAAAAGTCTTTCCCATAGCATTGTGCCGTCTGCCACGTTTTCTTCGCATGGGTCCCCCCGTTCTCGTGGTCACGCCGCTCTCTCTGTTTCCAGTGACTTGGCCTTGCGGAACTGCTTCCTTACCTCGGACTTGAATGTGAAAGTGGGCGATTACGGAATAGGATGCAGCAGGTACAAGGTAAGCCGAAGGCCGAAAGGGTCTCGCCTCGGTCTGATTTAATGTTCCACAGCCGCGAGATGGTGCTGTCACAGAATGCCACTCTGTTTTTGGAAGAGGGTTGGTTCCCGTCATTTCATTGGGAGTGTTGGCTTCCGATGTGTTGTTTTTCTGAATCGGTGGCTTTGTACCTGAGGTTTGGTGACAGCTTTCCAGACGCTCTGTTTACAAAGACTGACGGTGAGTGTAACTGATACAGTTTGGTGCTACACAATAAATGTCAGCGTGCACGTGGGCAGTGCAGTTACTACCACGTGTGCGACACGATACACGTCACATCGGTTTCTCCCCATTAGATGTTCAGTAAAAGTTCGGCTCAAGTTCAGTAAGCTTGGGATTTAGGTTTTTCAATTCTGTCATAAACACACCCCCAAAGAAAGCGAGAAGGGGATGAGGTTTTTATCTGTGTGTTTGTGCAGCCCAGCTGCAGGAAGTAGCGTGACGCGGGGCGGAGAGGGCGCCCGGCCTGGGTTCACGCTGCCGGGGGACCTCGGGGAGGCCACTTGACCTCCTTTTTGTACGAGCGGCGTGAGGATCACATCTGCTCTTTCCGTGGTGTGCGTGGAAAGCCCAGAGGGGCCACCTTCTCACAGTTCTTTAGCTAAAAAGTGTCGGGCAAGCATGGGTTGGCCGCCCGGCGTCCACACGGCAGCTCCAGTGTCCTGAGCACTTGCTGTGCACCAGGCGCTCGGAGGGACTTGCCTGCTTTATCTCGTTTAGTCTGCGCCCCAGCGGGAGGGAGGTCTTGTATCACCTCCTTCTACAGATAAGGAAGTAGGTCCAGCTTTTTCTTTTCTGCCCAGAGTCACGCGGCTGGTAGGTGGTTGAACGTGGGCTCACAGCCCAGTCTGTCAGATTCTGAAGCCTGCGCCCTTGTGACCTGGCCCCACGCCCCCACCCGGGGTGCACGGCCCGGCTGCTGGCCCCAGAGCCTGCGTTCTGGGCATCAGACACAGCGCGCTGCCCTCTCCCCGGAGGGAGTGCTGAGCAGGTGTGTGTGGCTCACAGGCCAGCTCAGTGAGCACAGGAGGCTTCGGAGGGCCCTCACCCACCCCCACCCAGAAGGTCTCTCTCCATGCCTACTTACTTTTTGGTTAAGTATGTGTTTTCTAAGAATGACCTGGAATTAAATCATTGAGCTCGTTAAAAGTATAATGGAATTCAAAATTCTGTGTGCTTTCTAACAAAACAGGAGGATTATATTGAAACAGATGATAAAAAAGTTTTCCCTCTGCGATGGACTGCTCCAGAATTAGTAACCAGCTTTCAAGACAGACTACTGACTGCAGATCAAACTAAGTATAGCAACATTTGGTATGTATCAATTTACCGTTCTGTTAGGCTTTTGTGTAGCCAAGTCCCAACTCCCTCCCCTGGAGCACCTCCTTAAAGGAAAGTCACTGAACACGATGCAGGGATGCAGCCCTGGCTGGTGTGGCTCAGTGGATTGAGCGCTGGCCCGCACACCAAAGGGTCGCCGGTTCGATTCCCAGTCAGGACACGTGCCTGGGTTGCATGCTGGGTCCCCAGTGGGGGACGTGCAAGAGGCAACTGCACATTGATGTTTCTCTTCCCCTTCCTCCCTCCCTTCCCCTCTGTCTAAATAAAATCTTAAACAAAAGAAAAAAAGATGTAGGGACGCAAGCGTGCCTGATTGTGTGAGAAAGGCAACGAGAAAGGCAACTCACTGACATGGCAGCGGTCACGGTTTCAGTGACATAACTGACCTTCCGAACACCGCCTCTTACCCGTTCAGCAATGCGCTCCACACAAGCGGGACCCCAGGCCGTCTCCTGTGCCCGCCACAGGGCCCGGCATGTGAAACGCATGAGAGAATCAATATTATATTAGGCAATATCAGATAGTAAACTTATTTATTCAGTACATATTACCCATTCAAACAAACATTCTGGTGGGTACTGATCGAAGCCACTTAAACCACCAGTTCTTAAACCTGACTGGGTGTCAGACTCAGTAGGGAGCTTTTAGAAAGACTGTTTCCTAGGGCCCACTGGCACCTCCAGCTGCAGGACCTTGGGGGTGGTCACACATAGCAGCAGGGTCAGGGAAAGCTGCTCAGACGATCCCCCAGGGGCTCCTGATTCCCCAGGGGCAGGAGCCGCTGCAGTAACTGGGGTGCGGTGACGCACTGCAGGAGGGAGGGAGTGGCGGGGAGCATGCTAAGCCCACGAACGGGGTGAAGGGTAAGTGTCCATCTGACGGGAGCAGCAGAGACCTTTCCGTGGGGGCAGAGCAGTGGGCCAGAGAGCGAGTGCGACTTGCAGAGGGAAGGGGCCCCCCTGCCTTTGGTCAGGGCCGCACACCAGGAGGGCGGGGAGGCCGGGCAGGAGGGCAGTGGAACCCCTTCACTGCAGCGCTGCGGCCCAGACCCTCGGAGTCACTGCGGCGCGTGCGCGGGGCCGACGGGGAGCAGTTGTTCGTGTGAGGTTCCTTGTAGGTACTTTCTGGTGTTTGCTGCTTTTATGGTTGGAATTCTTTTTGCCATAAAACTCGGAATTCAGGATATTTATCTTCATCTGACCAGTGTGATGAACTCTCAGATCAGTGTTATCTTTCATGTAATTTCTTGACTCTTGAAGTTGAGAGTCATACTAAGCTCCTCCCTGTGGTGGTGCCTGTCGTCTCTGTTTCTTTTCTTTTTTCTTTTTTTTGCATTGGCCAAAACCACCGGAGTCGTGCGCACTGGCAGGTGTGAGGGGCGTGGCTGCTGTGGTCCTCACCTTAGTGGGAACGTCTCTTCTTAAAGTCACGTGCAGGAACGACCTTTAATAACCTCTTCAGTACACCTGGTCCTGGAAGTTCCTCAGGACTGCACAGATGAAAATGTGGATGTTTAAAATTCAACATCCGAAGGGAGCACAGAAATAACCACTTTCTCTTTCCCACAGGTCCCTGGGTGTGACGCTTTGGGAGCTTTTTGACAATGCTGCTCAGCCGTACTCCGACCTCTCCAACTCCGAGGTGCTGAACCAGGTCATTCGGGAGAGGGGCACGAAGCTCCCCAAGCCCCAGCTGGAGCAGCCGCATTCCGATAGGTGGTCAGTGGCTCCCTGTGTCGTGTCGCCGCTGAGGCCGTCCTGTTTCCGCGGGTTTGAGTTAGCCGTTCCCTAGTTTTAAACAGTACATGCTGTAAGGACCAGTCATTGTACGTTGTTCACGATGTTTTTTAGAATTAACATCGAGTTTTACAAATTAGCGTTATTTTTGGAAACTGTACAGAACAGCAGGAATTTATGTATTATGTGCAATAAAAAAATGAGAAGTCTGAACTCATTAGAAAAGTCAACAGTAAGGGAGTTTGCTATTGTGGAATTTTCAAATGAGACTGTTTATATAAGTAATACTGAACATGTGAGAAAAAAGCATAAAAATAATATTTAACATGGCAGTTAGACTAATTTGCATAATGTATGTTCACATTTGCAAAACAAACCTACTCACGAGCCTTGGGATCAGCTCTTACTCCGTTTCCCGTTAGGACCGGGTTCACCTCTCTCTAGGCCTCTACACCCCACCCGCCCGCCCGGCACCGCCCCTGGGCCTGGCGCCCTGCATGCAGGCAGTGCCCAGCCTCCCAGGCATTGGGACCGTGCACCGAGAGTAGCTCAACTCGTGTGCTGCGAACTTCGTACCTCGAAGTTGTCTCGGTCTTCCAGTCTGCGCGCGGCTGCAGCCGTGGCCGTGCTCAGCCAGCCCCTGGGGGGCCCAGCTCTCGGTCGGCACTCTCGTGGGCTCCTTCCCTCTCCCCCCACGTCCAGCCCCTTCCGCGACCCGAGGAAACCGTGTGCTGCAGAAGACGGCGGTGCTGCTCTCTCCTGGGGGGCAGTCAGAGGTCAGCTACAGCAGCTCTGCCCGTGTGGATGCTCGCAAAAACCTGCAGATGCGAGGGAAGCGCATTCTTTCCACGCAGGGCGCTGCGGCAGCTGTCTTAGGAGGACAGCATATTAAAACTATTCCTTGCTGAATTCAGCAGATAAGTCCCTGGGTAAACGCCAGAGGAACAAATGACAGGCAGCAGAATTGCAGTGATCCTGGGAAATGGCCGGAGAAGACAGAAATCGTGGTCCAGTGTATTACGTCTTCATCTCCTCCCTCACAGGGGTCTCACTGCGAACCACCTTCCTGTGGTCCGTAGTGGTTACAGGGTAGCAACTCCGGGGGTGTCGAGTTGGCTTAGGGGTTCTCACAAAGCCTGTTCGTGTTTTAGAAACAGTCTGTCACCAGCCCACTGACAGCCTCTCGTGCGCCCCCAGGTACGAAGTGCTGCAGTTCTGCTGGCTGTCGCCGGAGAAGAGGCCCGCGGCCGAGGACGTGCACAGGCTGCTCACCTACCTGCGCATGCAGAGCCAGAGGGACTCGGAGGCCGGCTTCGAGCAGCAGTGGAACGCCCTGAGGCCGAACACCAGCGGCAGGGACGCCTCCAGCAGCGCCGCCTTCCCGATCCTCGACCACTTCGCCAGGGACCGGCTGGGCCGGGAGATGGAGGAAGTCCTCACCGTGACGGAGACCAGCCAGGGCCTGAGCTTCGAGTACGTCTGGGAGGCCGCGAAGCACGACCACTTCGACGAGCGCGGCCGGGGCCCCCCGGACGAAGCCCTGTCTTACACGAGCATCTTCTTCCCGGTGGAGGTGTTCGAGCGCTCTCTTTCGGACCCCGGGCCTGGGAAACAGGACAGCAGTGGCCACGAGGTCCCCCTGAGAGCCCCCGGCGTGGTTCCCGTTTTTGATGCCCACAACCTTTCTGTCGGAAGCGACTACTACATCCAGCTGGAAGAAAAGAGCGGTAGCACCTTGGAACTCGACTACCCGCCGGCAGTGCTTACGACGGAAATGGAGAACCCGGAAAGGACCGGCGGCGAGGCGCCCCCGTTTCTGACCCTCAGGAGCCTTGAGTTCGAGGAGTCCAGTACAGACGAGGATTTCTTCCAGAGCAGTGCAGACCCCAGGGATCCCAGCGTCCCTGAGGACGTGCGTGCTCCCCAGGGCCCCGAGAGCCCTTTCGACAGTCTGTTTAATGATCTTGACAAACCGGAGGATCTGCCCAGTCACCAAAAAATATTTGACTTAATGGAACTAAATGGAGTTCAAGCCGACTTTAAACCAGCCGCTTTAAGCTCAAGTTTGGACGACCCCAAAGACTCGGCGATAACAGGCCACTTCGAGAAAGAAAAGGCCCGTAAGCTTTTTGACTGTGAGCCTCTTTGCTTACCAGAAAACCTTACGCACCAAGATAATTTTGATCCACTGAATGTGCAAGAATTGTCAGAAAACTTTTTATTTCTTCAAGAGAAGAACTTACTAAAAGACTCATTGTCTCGCAAAGAACAGATAAGTGATCTTCAAACGGAACTTAAAAACGCTGGTTTTACTGAAGCTATATTAGAAACTCCATGTAGAAATGCTTTAGGTACTGAGCTTCGGTTTGCTGAAAACGAACCCGGCTTTTCTGCGCTGCGAGAAAGCACGGGCGCGAAGGGCCCGAACGCCGGCGAGGCGCTCGGGGACCACACTTTGAGCGCCTCGCTGCCGTCCTCCCCGGAACTGCAGGTCCCTCCCACCTCCCTCGACACAGAAGGGACGCCTCACAATGCACCTCCAGGCGTGTTCCTGAAGCAGGGAGAAACCACGCCCAGGCATTTAGATGTCAGTATCCATGACGACGGTCTCTGCCAAGAAACAAATTTAGAATCTATGACCGTCCCCGATGAAATCCCCTCTGCTGGTGCCACACCACCCGGTGTTGGCGACGGGTCCCCTGACCGGGCTCACCACCGTGAGGAGGCCTCGAGACGAACCCAGGGCGACGCGGGTCTGGGGGGTGACGTTTTTGCCGGTGAAGGGGGTGTGGGGAGCAGCCTCCCGGAGCCGACACGGAGCCTGCAGAGCCGGCCGCTGTCGGAAGACCGTCGCAGCAGCGGCCGGCCGGGGAACAGCTCGGACGCTGCGGGCGCTTTGGACCAGCCGGACTGTGAAGACGCTGCACGAGAGGGGGGCTTGGCGTCCGCCCTCTCCTCGGACTCCGCCAGCCAGGACAGCCTCTTAGAGGACAGCTCGTCAGCCCCCGCTCCCGAGTCGGAGCCGTCCATGGAGACCCCGGACTCGCTGGACTCACTGGACGTCCACGAGGCTCTGTTGGGTCCTCTAGGCTCCCAGTCTCCCCAGAAGCTTCTGCCCCCCGACAAGCCTGCCGACAGCGGGTATGAGACAGAGAACCTGGAGTCGCCTGAATGGACTCTGCACCCTGCCCCCGATGGCGCCGCGGCCTCGGACGTGGCCACGGCAAGTGACAGCGGGCGTGGCGAGTTGCCTCCCAACCCTGTCATTGTCATCTCCGACGCAGCCGATGGCCCCAGGAGTACCGAGGTGACCTCACAGACTTCCGCGCCTGGCTCTCAGAGCTCGTACCGAGACTCTGCCTACTTCTCAGATAATGAGTCTGAGCCCGATAAGAAGTCAGAGGGGGTCCCGGGATCCGTAGTGTCAGCCACGGCGTTGGTGACAGACCAGCCGCTGCCTGGGCCAGCCATCCCAGAGCCGAGTCCTGGCGCCAAGGACAGTTGCCTGGAAACCAGAAATGGGCAGCCAGAGCAGAGCCGTCTGTCCGCTCTGCAGAGCCCCAGTCTCCCGGAGTCCGGAGCAGCCCCGGAACCTGCACTGACCGACGTCCCCAAAGAGCTGCCCGCCCCCGCAGATGAGGCCGGCAGCCCCTCGAGTGTGCCGAACTCGGAGCTGAGCAGCGGCGAGGACTTGGAGGCGCCGGAGGAGCACCCCTGCACGATCGTGTCCACCGGGACCAACACCGATGAGCTCCTCGCCTTTGCCGGCTCCTCCCCGCGCCCCAGCAGCCCTCCCGACCTGACGGTGGGCAGGCCCCCGCCCAGCCACCCGGAGGGCCCCAAGCTGAAGGAGCCGGACATCGAAGGGAAGTACCTGGGGAAGCTCGGCGTGCCCGGCGTGCTTGACCTCTCCGAGGACGGGGTCGACGCAGATGAGGAGGACGAGAACAGCGACGACTCGGACGAGGACCTGCGGGCCTTCAACCTGCACAGTCTCAGCTCCGAGTCGGAGGACGAGACCGAGCACCCCGTGCCCGTGATCGTCAGCAACGAGGACGGGAGGCACCTGCGCAGCCTGCTGAAGCCCCCGGCTGCTCTTGCGGGGGGCCAGCTGCCGGAGGATTGGGAAAGAGACAAGAAGGCCGTGACCTTTTTTGATGACGTCACGGTGTATCTGTTTGACCAGGTATGTTACCTCCGGATTGTCACGACAGAGAATTCCAAAACGTGGGAGGGAATTGAGCGTGCTCTGTTTTCCTGATTCTCATTCTGAGGCCACAGATTGCTTTATGCTTACTCAAAAAAAAAAAATGAAGAAGAAGAAATCTGCAGTCGGCTGCTGTTGCCATTCCAAGAATATGCGGAGACGGCGTTGGCACAGGGAACTCCCGTGAAATTAGGGGGCGGCATCTGGGTGCTCCGCCGGCTCCCCCGGGGGAGGCCCGCTGCAGTTGGCTCCCCTTCACGGAGCGGCTCTTCCTGGTCTGGCCGTCGGTGGCAGCACCCGCACGTGCGTGCACGCTGGGGCGCCCGGCTCCCGAGCAGCCCTGTGGCCCTGTCCTCCCTGCCGCACAGCAGGCGGCCCGCTGTGCCCCCAGGCGGGCGCAGACTTTGCCTTCTTTCAAAACGACCCAGCTGGTCACTCAGAGATTTTTAAAAAAATACTCGTCGTTGACTGGTCTCTGTGGTCCTTGAATTTGCCTCTTGAATCAGTGGGTTGTAAGTAAAGCTTAGCCACAGACACGTCCGAGTGGGGCCCCTTTATGCGCCGGCAGGTGCGGGAGGCCTTGGCCCTTGTCTCCCTAAGGCCGGCCGCCTCCCTGTGTGTCAGTCCTCGGAACTGAGACCGTCTTGGCCTCCTGTCGGCGTCGTGCCCCTTGGCTCTGCTCTTCGGGCCGGTGTGTCGTTCCAAGGATGCGGACAGGCAGGCTTGCGGCGGGGGGCCTTTGCAGGCCGGCCCCTTCCCGTCAGTGTGGGTTTGCTTTGAGGTCCGTCCCAGCTGCGCGGCCGACAGTCCTTCCCCGTGTTGCTGGGCTCTGTGTGTGTGTGTGCGTGTGTGTGTGTGTAGGGGGCGTGCCCAGATGGTGCCGGCGACCCCCGCGGAGGGAGTGTCTGGGTGTTCCCTGGGGGCCGCTGACAGACAAGGCTCCTTTGGACAGCGGCGTGCAGGCTGCTGTGTGGACACCCGCGTTTGGGGGGACGAGCGTCCGGGAGTGTGCCTGCTGGGCTGTGTGGTGAGTGTGCGTGTAGACCTGTAAGGGGAAGCGCTCTTCTCCCAGGGGCTGCACCGCGGCCCACTCCCGCCGGCGGTGTGGGAGAGCGCGGCCACTCTCTGCCCGAGCCACGGTTTGCGCGCGGCTCTCCAGCAGGCGCGGGCCATCCTGTCGGGAGCCACAGTGGTCTTCCCGGCGGCCGGCTGGCGGGGCTGCGCACCTCGTCTCGTGCTCACGTGTTCCTTGTGCGTGTGCCCTCATCAGTGACGTCCGCCACCTGCTGCCCGTTCTCCACCCGGTTCCCCTGCGCTCTGAGTTGGGAGCGTCGCTGTGAGTTCTGGCTGCGAGTCCCCTGTCAGGCGTGTGGTCTGGAGGCACTCCTCCCGTGGGTTGTGTGGGCTGCCTCTCACGGGGCAGAAGTGTGAAGTCCTGGCGGACTCCTGCTCGCCGGCTTGTCTGGCGCTCACGGAGCACACTGCTGTCACGGCCAAGCCCTCCCCACCGAGCCCTGTGTCCCAGCTGCCTTCCCTAAAAGTTGTCTCGTGTTCTGTTTTCTGTTTCAGTGCGTCACACATTCTGAGTTGGCTTTGGTGTACGCTTGAGGCTGGGGCTGTTTGCTTTGCGTTCGGGTGTCTGCGCGGCGGGTCCAGTGCCGGCGGTTGAGAAGACCGCCCCCCTGCCCCGCCCCCCCGGCCGCAAACAGCCTTTGCTCCTTTGTCAGAAGCGAAAGGGCCACCTCTTGGGCGGCGGGGGGGGCATTTCTGGGAGATTCGGCCTGTCCCGCTGGTCTGTGTGCTCACCTCCCGCCAGCACCTTGCCCTGGTGACGTCGTCTGGGTGGGAATCGGGGTGTGAGTCCCTGTCGTGTTTATTCCTTTTTAGAATTGTTTTGGTTTTTGTAGTTGCTTTAATTTTCCATATAAATTTTAAAATCGGCTTGTCTGTAGCTTAAAAAAAAAACCCACTGCGGTTTTGGTGGAAACCACGCGGAACCCGAAGGTCAGTGTGGGGAGAGCAGACGTGTCCGCGGTGCCGAGTCCCGGCTCGTGGCCACGGTGGGCTGCCTCCTGCTGCTTCTGCTCGTGTCGTGTGGTTTCCAGCACGCGTGTCCTGTCCGTGTTTCGCTGGGTGTGTAACTGATGTCCGTTTTGTGAGGCGCCGACAGGAAAGGTGACTCTGAGATCCTGGGTTTCCTCCATGCCTTGCCGGTGCGTGCACACGGGGCCAGCGCTGGGGCTGGCCGTGTCCTGCTGCACCCAGCCACTGCTCCGAAGGGGTTTTCTGTCTGCGTTTCTTCTTTTTCACGTTTCTGAGTGGTTTCTACACAGTCGGTCGCGTGGCCTGCACATGGGGGCGAGGGGCTGTTTCTTCCTTTGCAGTCCGTGTGCCTCTGGTTTCCTGCCCCCACCCCCCGCGCTCGCTGGCGGGGACCCGTGGGAGTGACGGCCGGGGGAGAGCGGCGGTCTTCGGCGTGGACGGTGACGTCGGGTTTCTGTGGGCGCTGCTGGTGGAGTGGAGAAGGTTCTCCCCTCGTCTTGGTTTGAGAGGGTTTTGGTCCTAAAGGGATGCCGGGTTTTGTCCGCTGTACTTTGTCCGTCATGGGCCTTCCGGTGCTGTGTTCAGATGGCAGGTGGCCCTGAGTACCAGGCGCCGAATGGGCTCTGCCTCCCGGGGACACAGCGCACTCGGCTGCGGCGCTTTGTCCCGGGTCTGTGCCGCTGGGCTCGGGTTGCAGGCGGTTGTTGAGGGGTGTGTGTCTGTGTGCAGGAGGTATGGTTTGGGGGTGTCTGTCTGCTGCCTTGGCTGATTGGGGTTTGGGGGGTTTGTTGTTGCTGTTTTTGGCATTGCCCTTGGTTTTGGTGTCATGGCGATGCTGGTCTCATAAAATAAGTTGGGACGTATTTTGTTTCTGAAGGGATTGTGGGGATTCAGTGATCTTTTTGAAGAACTGCTTTTGGTTTCATGGAGGGTTTTTTCTTTATAATTTTCTTTTCAATTTTATTGAGTTTTGCTTTATCTTTATCATTTTTTTGCTTCCACTTGCTTTAGATTTATTTTGCTCTTTTTCTAGACTCTTAAGGAAGATGCTTAGGATTTAAGAACTTTCTTCTTTCTAACAGTAGCAGTTAATGTTATAAATTTCTCTCTACGTACACTTTAGCTGCCTCCCACAAATTTTAGTGTTGTATTTTCATTCACTTCAAAATATTTTCTAATTTTTCTCAAAGCTTCCTTTTGACCCATGGATTATGTGTAAATGTGCTAATTGTCAAGCCTTTGTGGGTCAGCAGTTCTCTTTCAGAGTGTTTGCGGCACGCTGTGGATTCAGCACAGCCTGAAATGCAGAGCGGGCACTGGGGTGGGCAGACAGCTCCGGAAGCTCCTTGGTGCTGGTTCTAGAAGCAGCAGGGAGGGTCTTCTGACACCAGAGAGAGGGGAAGGCATCCTTTTGTCCCCCCTTTTCTCTTGCTCCCCACCCCAGGCAGTCCCAGGGTAGCGGCATGGGAGGGGGGCAGGTGCCAGTGCTCGTGAGGGGAGTGGATGTTCTCCCCACCTGGAGGGCTGTGATGCCAAGGGTTAGAGTGAGGGGACCCCAATGCTCTTTTTTTGTTGTTGTTTTAAGAGAAAGAGAGAGAAACATTGATTTGTTGTTGCGCCTATGCATTTATTGGTTGCTTCCTGTAAGTGCCCTTTCCGGGATCAAACTCCAAACATTGCTGTATGGGGATGACACCCCAACCAACTGAGCCACCTGGCCAGGGCCACCAGGTGCTTCTTTACCGCCCTGTGCTCCTGCTGCAGAGCTGTGGGAGGTGTGCAGCGTGGTGGGGTGGCACGAGTCCCGGCTTTCCGGCCGGAGGACCGAAAAGGGAAAGCCCGAGACATCTGAAGACACCGGGGGTACCGCGGAGAGCGAGGCATACAGGGCGGCAGCCCCACGGAGCTGGTTCTGAGCTCCCGGCTCACCTCCGAGCGGTGCCTGGTGGCGGGTGGGACCCGGAACAGCACAGTGAAGCTGTGAGACCGGAGCTGTTGGGGGACCCCTGCCCCAGGGTCCAGTCCGGCCAGCGGGTGGCACATGCACTGGACAGGCTCAGGAGTCCAGGCCAGGAGCTGTGGTGGGGAGGTCAAGTTCACTGCTGGTTCGGTGTCCTTGAACTCTGGCCTCCTTCCGCAGCCGGCCTCCTTGCTACTGTTGACTTCCCAGGCTCCGAGCAGCTGCTCCGTGCTCTCTGCCTGGGCTTCGGAGCGGCGTGCTCCTACCCTGCCTGCAGCACCGGGGCCGCCTGCTCTGAGAGGAGCGCCGCACAGCCGGTCGGGCGGACGTGCCGTGGCCTGTGCGGCGCACACCGGCGGGCGCCGGGGGCTGGCGCCTGCTGATGGACCTTCTGCTTGGCTTTCCAGGAGACCCCCACCAGAGAGCTGGGACACTGCGGAGCGGAGGCCCACGGCCCGGAGCGGGGCGGCCCCACGCCGTCGTCAGGCTCGCCCTGCCTGGGCAGGTGCATGAACTCGGAGAGCTCCACCGACGAAGAAGGTACTTTACTTCACAGGCGGGTTTTGAAGACATCAAAAGGAGCGCAGGGCGAGTCACGTGAACTCCTTGCAGATGACGGCAGACACTGCTGTAAATGACCGCTGTGACGCGGGCAGCAGCGCCGCCAGCTGCCGGGCCGAGCGGTGTTTGCTGACCTGCGGGGCGCACCTGTGTGTTTGCTCTCCGCTCTGCCCTGAGCCATCAAAGGCGAGGGAGGTCTTGTTTTGTTCTTGCAGGCGGAGGCTTTGAGTGGGACGACGACTTCTCCCCAGACCCTTTCATGTCAAAGACGACGAGTAACCTCCTGAGTTCCAAGCCTTCTCTGCAGACGTCAAAGTACTTCTCACCGCCGCCGCCGCCGCCCCGGAGCGCGGAGCAGAGCTGGCCCCACGCGGTGCCGTACTCCAGGTTCTCCATCTCTCCCGCCAGCATCGCCAGCTTCTCTCTGACACACCTGACCGACTCAGACATCGAGCCAGGAGGTGAGGGGTGCTGGGGTGCTGGGCCTGGAGCCCGTCCCGCTGTGCTTGAGTGGGTGCTGATCTGGCGCCCTCCCGGGTGGGTGGAGTAGAAAGAATTCTTCGTGAAGCTCTAACCGCCTCGACAGTGTGCTCTCGGGGCCACTGTCACTCCATGAGCTTGGTGCTCCCCACAGGCCCCCCCACCCCACCCTGCTGGGCTGGGCGGCCCAGGCAAAGGCAGGGCTCGTCCCCGAGGGGGTCCGCCTTCTCTCTGTTTTTCCGCTCTCGCTGCCAGCCCCCCGCCCCCGCCCCCGCCCTTTCCCCCCTAGAGAAGTAGGTCTTTGCAAAGCTCATGCCCTCGAGCACACTGGGGCTGGTTTGGGGATCGAGCCCAGAGGCACCCGGCCCTTCCCAGGACTGGTGGCCAAGCCGCTAAGGCCCGGCCTCCGCACGGCACAGAAGGCCGGGGTGGCGGGCGGGGCGGGGGGCGGGGCGGCGGGCGGGGCGGCCCCTCTGAAGTGCTGCCGTCTGCACGCTTGGGCCCTTCTCTCCCCGCAGCCAGGTCGGAGGATAAACGTTAATAGGCACATTTTGTCACTTGAAGTTTGCAGAGCAAACACTAACTGGGAAACATAAAGAGCTCTTGTTTGTGTTTGTGCCGCGCTCAATTGTGCCGATTAGATAGTGCCCGTGACCCGCCGCCCCGTCAGGGGGCAGATGTGTGCCAGTCAGAGCTGGCTTTCCCCGTGCCCTGGGTCGTGGCATTGACCCGGCGTGGGAGCCCCGCAGATGTGTTTGCGAGGCTGGCAGGGACGGCTGCCCCGGCGAGAACACACGGGGCCCGGCAGGTGGTGGGCGGCGGCCCTGGGAGCTTCGGCTCCCTTTTCTGCAGCGCGGTCAGGTGCTGGCCGGGCTGTTTTTATCTGTGGCGATCACTCTAAACACAGCGTTGCTTGCTCTCTCCTCCACAGGAAGCAGTGAAGACGGAGAAAAGGATTAGACGGACGCGGACGCACTCTCGGGCCCCAGGCTGCTCCCCGGGCAGCGGTCCTGCACTGCCGGCCGGGCAGTGCCGAGCGTGGGACACCTGCTGAGACGGGGCAGGGAGAAGGACTTGGGCGGCGGAGCGGGCGCCGGCGCTGGGTCTGTGCCCACGGCCCATGCAGGAAGCCCGTCTCGGGAGACGTGGTCCTGTCCAGCACGGTGTGCTGCCCTGGTGGCCGCTCTCGCCCGCTCAAGACACGCGGGCTCTGGCCATCCTTGGGGAGGGCTGGCCCTGCTCGGGGGCGTGGGGAACCAGGGGCTCCCGGCTGTTTCCCGTCTCCACGCGGGGTCCTCTGCGTCCACCCCCGTGCGCCCTGTCTGCGCGGGGGCCCAGAGGACGTGTGGTGGGGCTTGGCAGCAGTGAGCCATATTTATTATTTTTAAAGAAATCACTAACTGCTTTCTGTAATTGCACTGTGGATAAATGTTCTAAGAGTCCCTGATACTGTACAGAATCTTAAATTATTCAAGGAAAATAAGGCAGGTCAAGCTGGTGCTACCCACTAGTTTGATTTTTTTTTGTTTTATAGTTTGTTTGCTCTGCATGGTACTTGTAAAGCTTAAATTCTTTGAGTGTATGCAGTCCTTAGAATTGTTGGAATTGTACATATGGTACTCTTTCGTAAACGACGAAGGATCCCGAATGTTAGTGTCTCCTGTCCTTGTAGGAAGTATTTTTGGTGAGTCCCACAGGACTGCTCTGCTGTCGCCCGACCGCTGAAGCCCGCGTGGTCTGTTCCCCGTGAGGGGGTTTCCCTGCGGCCGGTGAGGCGCTCAGAGGAGCCAGGGCCCTGCAGCCTCCGCGTGGTTCTCCCACCCCGCTCCCCAGTTTCCTTAAACCCTCGTGGTAAAAATCGAAGGTGGTACATCCCAGAGTCCCTGTCCCTCCCCCGGGGCAGAGGCGGGGCCTCCGCTGCTGGCGTGTCTTCCTGGGTGGAACTGGGCAGCCCTGCAGGGCCGCACACCAGACGCCCCCGGGTGCCCCACACGGACCCTCCCTTCTGCATTATGCACCAGGTTCTGCCCTCGCTCGGAAAGGGACCGGGCGTGCCCGGTGCAGCCTCACAGTGCTGGTCACCTCTTCCCGGAGTCCCCGAGTGCTGCGTTGAGCCGCGTGGCAGCGCTGTGCTGAGGGCGGTGGCGCGTGCTCGCGAGGCCAGGGCTGCGGGCCCGTGCGCGCCCCTCCCCTGGGTGTCCTCTGGTGCTGACGTGCTCTCCCGACTGCGACTGCGCGGGCCCTGGCCTGACTCTCCCGGCCTCAGGGGCCACGTGGTGTGTCACCGGATCTGGGTGTCCGGAAGAGATGCAAATGCGAATGCTGGCTCCAGTTTCCATGGTGAAGCTGACCTTCTTTACCAATTCTGGTTCACTCTACTAACTTTTGATACTAGCAATAACTTTTCTGAGCAAGAAAATTCAGAATGGAGAACCGGCCCCCTTTCCTCCATTTGCCGTGAGCACGGAGCACCGGGCGGGGGGCAGCACCGGGGCCGGACCCTGTGCCGGGCACGTTGGGAAGTTAATGGGGCATTAGACGGTGACTTTGCCAAATTGCCAAACTCTGAATTTCTTACTATGGAGACTTCCTGAGCTTTCTGAATTTTTACATCTAACTACCAGCTTGGTTTAGAGAGGAAATGAGGCAATTATACTGTTTGTTTTTTAAAGTATAGATTTAAGGGGTTCAGATTTAATGACCAAAATCAAGCAGATCCATAGAATATATAGTCTTGTTAATACAGTCAGCTCAGGATAAATTTGGTATTTGGGGTTGTCCATTTTTCACTACGATTCAGGAGATTTTAACAACATAATTCCCATTTTAATTTATTTTAAGTACATATCACTCATAATTAATTGCCAAGAAAAGCATTTTTATACGTTGCGTTGGGGGTGGGTTGAAGTAGTAGATATTCCTGTGGGGTTGCATGGTAGGGAGGAATTTATATTTATAATAAACATGTAAGTGAACATGTTCTTTGGAAATCTCAAGCAATACACAAGAAATAAATTATGTACATTAAATTTTCCAGCCCGTTTTTGAGATGTCAGCATGTGCTCTGTCGTTTCGGTTCTTTTACTCAGCTGGTATCGGTGTTGGGTTTTCAAGCGGCACTTCCTCTCCTAAGTCACGCAGCGAAATACGCCCGTGGGTTCTCGGGGCCACACGCTGAGACCGGAGTCCCTGGCTCCCGGGGTCCGCTCCTGGCCTCCCTTGGACATCTCTTCAGGTTTCAATCAGTCCTGCTTTGGTGGAGTTGACGTATTTTAAATCCTATGATAAAAATAATGTAACCTTCATTTCCTTCCCAGCTAGATGCTAATTTGTGTTACCAAATGACTCTGGGGCAAGCCAGAAGGGGAGACGGAGGGCTCCCCAAACCCTTCTGAGCCCTGGACCGTGGTCTGGGGGAGCAGCCGCCGTCCTGCGGGCGGAGCGGCCCAGCGAGCGCGGTGAGGACCGACGCGCGCTCAGACCCCTCGCCGCTGCGCTGGCGGCTGTTCCCGTGGAGGCGGGCCCACCCGAGAGAAGACTCCGTCTTGCTGCCGGAAAAGGCCTCTGAGAACCTCTTCCTCCTAGTATTCCTTCCCACAGGGTGCTCGCGGGGCGAGGGGCGGGTGCCTCGCTGCGTGTTTGTCCCGAGGCCCAGGTGGGCGGGAACCGGCCATGGCTCCCGGGCCTCGGAGGCGCCGGCCCTGCGGGAAGCGGCCTCACGCGGGAGGGGCGGTGCCGAGTCGCCCCAGACGCGGTGGGCTCCGACGGTCCGCCCAGCAAGCCCTCCTCGGCGCAGGAGCAAACTCGCGAGGCTGTGGCGACCGTACTGCCTTCCCAACAGCCTGTTGCGTGGATGGCTTGAACCCGCCTCGGTTCAGGTGCGCGCAGGCGCAGGTGGGACCTGCGCGCCCACGGGTCGGTTTCCGCGGCGGACAGGACAGGACCGAGGGCGGCCACACCTGCGAGGTCCCTTGCTGTGCAGTCGGAAGAGTTACATTCACGGCGATGTAACCGTCATGGACTTTGAGTTTAAATTGTGTACATTTTTAATTGTAAGATTTTTACTGTATATTGATGCATAGTGTGATTCGATAAATTGCTTGTAATTTAAAAACTATTTAATATTCAAAATAAATATAGTTATATATTTATAAACTCGGTTGCTACGTTTATTCCGTGTTTTTCACACCGAGGGCCCTGGGGTGGGGGGTGGCCCGGCACTGCCCTGGTCTCCAGATGCTGGTCCCCACGGCGGACCTGTAACCCGAGGCCTTTGCACCTGGGGAGTTTCAGAAGCATTTTCATTCCTGAGGCCCCGCATCGGATGAGCTCTAAGCCAGCCTTGCGCTGCCCCGAGCGGACCTCGGCCCCCCCGGCGCGCTGCCCCTTGCTCCCCTGTCCGAGCTGCCGAGAGCCTAACAGGCTTCGGCCAGACCCGCTACTCCTGGCGCCGGCCCGGGCTGCAGAGCCGGCCGCGCGCCCCGGCTTCTGCGGGGCCGGACCCAGTGCCCGGGAGCCGGGCGCACGTGGCTCGGGGGCGCCCTACCAGCTCACAGGCCCCCGGAGCCAGGTGCTGGTAACACCTTGTAATGCCCCTGTGAGCGGGGAGGGAACCGAGGCAGGGCGCGGGTGCGAATCAGGGGAGCGCGTGGGCAGCACGGCCCGGTTGAGCTCGCTGCCCCTGGAGGCCTAAACCGCGGCTCGCACGCAGGCCCCGCGGGGCGAGGCGCCGCCCCCCGCACGCGGGCCGAGCCGCCGGCGTTGGGTGCGCGGTGTCCCCGAGTCCCGGGCATTGCCTGGTCCGCCCGAACGGGGCACTGTCTTGGGAGACGCGACCGCTGCCCGTTTAAGAAACGCGAGCATGATTACAAAACACCTTTCCCGCTAATTCTGACGCCCCGTGTTCTGAGCTTTAACCCCAAGAGCAGGTGCGGTCCCGGGCTACCTCTCCGCGCAGGGCTCGCGGGGAAGCCCCAGTCTCCCAAGCCGTGGTCGGGGCTGCGGGGCGGGAGTGGGGGCGCGGCCCCGGCCACAGGTGCGTCCCTCCCCTGCAGGCACGGCCCCGCCCCCGCCCCGCCCCGCGGGCTCATTTACATGTGGCCGCGGCCCCGCCTGGGGCAGCTAAAGCGACGTGTCCTTGTCCCCCCTGGGCAGCCCTGGTGAGTGCGGCCGCGGATCCCCAGGTAATGAGGTAGGGGTTGCGGGTGCGGCGAGCCGTGGGGAGAGGACCCAGGGTCAGGACCGGGTGTGGTCTGGGGGAAACCTGGGTGGGAGCCCTGACTGGGACCATCCACAGGTTAGCCTGGGGGGTCACCTGCAGGCCCCGGCCACTGTCTGGACCCATGGGTCCGGACCCTGCCACCCCGTGACCACAGCAGTTCCGGCCCCAATGTCGTCCCTGTATGTGATGTGATGTGGTGGCCGGAATCAGTGCCAGTCCATCAGGGCAAACAGGAGGCAGAGGGCTCTCCTGAGCCAGGATGGTGCTGTGTCTGTGGGTGGCCTGAGCAGAGTGGCCAAGGCCACCTAAGCTCGGGAGCCCCCAGGGGTGGGGGCAGTGAGGAGCATGGGGCCAGAGACAAGTCCAGGGGTCAGGATGCCTCAACCGGGGGGCGAGGGGCCCACCAGGTAAGGGAAAGGTCTAAGGGGTCAGCGTGAGATCAGTCAGGGGCATGCTGGGTGTGGGGGGTCGGCTCGGGGCTCCCTGGGGTCACTCCCTGTGCACCAGGCGGTCAGTGGCGATTGTGAGGCCAGGAGGCCGCCATGGGCAGCTGTCCTGAGCGTCCACTGGCCTGCCGAGTGACCACAGGGTGGCTTGTGTTCTGGATTTCAGCTCCAAACACCACCCCCCTCAGAGCCTTCACCCCCTGGGATAACCGGTCAGGAACCATGAAGACCAAGGCGCGGCCCCCTAGGCGCCGGGTGGCTGCGCAGAGCACAGAGGCCACCCCAGGGGATCAGCCCCCCAACAGGGCCCCACCGGACTCGGGGGCCCAGCCAGCCAGGGGCCTGCGGAGCAGGACAGCGCAGAAGCAGGGGGCCCGGGCTGAGGGCGGGCGCCGGCGGCAGGCGCCTTCGGGGGCGGCGGGCCGGCGGGAGAGCAGCATCCAGCGGCGGCTGGAGAGCAACGAGCGGGAGCGGCAGCGCATGCACACGCTGAACAACGCCTTCCAGGCGCTGCGCGAGGTCATCCCCCACGTGCGCGCCGACAAGAAGCTCTCCAAGATCGAGACCCTCACGCTGGCCAAGAACTACATCAAGTCGTTGACGGCCACCATCCTGACCATGTCCAGCGGTCGCCTCCCGGGCCTGGACGGGCCGGGCCCTAAGCTCTACCAGCACTACCAGCAGCAGCAGCAGCAGCAGCAGCAGCAGGCGGCCGGGGGCGCGCTGGCTGCCGCCGAGTCCCAGCCCGAGGGCCACCTGCAGAAGTACTCCACGCAGATCCACAGCTTCCGCGAGGGCTCCTAGCGCCCGGCCCTGGTCCCACCAAGAGCCCCGGGCTGGTGGTGACCCCCACGTGGACGCGGCCCCAGCGGCTGCATCTTCCCCAAACACTCAGCTGCCTTTCAGGAACGTGTCCTGGCCCCCCCAGGGGACCAGACCTGGCCGAGGCGGTGGCCCCGGGCGGCCGGAGGCCCAAATGTTTGTGTGGCTGCCAGAACCTTGTTGGCTTTCACTTGACTAAGCAGGAGACCACTGGCCTTGGTGACTTGACTCTCTTCTCTCCTGAGTTCCCCCGGAGGCGGGGAGATCCCAGGAAAAGGCGTCCGCGGTGCGTCCCCACACGTGTGCCTGAGGCCCAGGCCCAGAAGGGAAGCCCCCGCCCCCTCATTCAAGCGGAACGGAACCCCCTCCAACCTGCATCAGAACCCCCTCATTCAAGCTGAACTGAGGCACAGAGCGAAGGCCCGTGGCCAGTGCGGCTGCACCCAGGCGCCCAGGTAGGGGAGTGTCTGCTTCGCCATCTACCTGTCCAGCAGAAACCCTCGTCAGGTGGCCTCGGAATGATTCTGGGGGGATCTTCGGAGGTCCTGGAGAGGCCTTGATATTTTCCTCCTGTGTTGGGGGCTCCTGGTTGCGGAGGGACTGAGCCGGGTCGGAGGGTCTGTGGCCTGGTGCCGAGGGGGATGGAGAACGGACGGGGAGAGAGGGGCTGGGGCTCTTGGGCCCGGCCCTTTGGGAAACCGTCCATCCCCAGGCCTGCCCCCGTGTCCCACTCAGGTGTGCTGCTCATCGTCACTGAGTGCGTGGTCTGAAAGGACTTGCGGGTGCTGTCGGGTCCTGGCTGGGGTCGGGGGCCCCGCAGGGCTCTCTGCAGGGAGGAGTCTGGGGCGGCAGAGCCCCCTCCCCCACGCGGCGCGCTCGGCGGAGGCAGGGCCGGCGTCTTGGCAGGCCTCTGCAGGCCTGGGCCAAGCTTCCTCCTGCGGTGTTCCTGCCCCGCTGGCTTCAACGGGCTTGGCCGCTTCGCTGCCAGCCGGCTGGCATCTCCCCTCCCTTGTCCTTCCGCTCCATAGCCCATGTGGGGAGGGGACAGGGCCCTTGGCAGCCTCAGGCGGGAGCCACGGTGACTGAGGCGACAGTTGGCCTGGCACGTGGGGGCTGGGTCCCCTGGGCCCAGAGCCGTGTGGTAGGTCCTCCCAGGCCATTGGGGATGGGGGCCGGGCCGGGCCTAAGGCTGTCACAGCTGAGGGCTCGGCCCTGATGCGTGGCCTTGCCGTTCCACGCCTGGTTGTCCCGGCCCTGCCATTTAATGCGTTTCCGGGCTATGCGTCAGCCCTGGCAGCGTCAAGGACAGCAGGTGGCCCCTCTCAGAACAGCCATGTGCTGCTTCAGTTCTAACTTCCCTGGTCAGACGCTGGCCGGGCCCTTCCAGGTCCCTCGGGCAGGTGGGCCAGGGATGCCTGTCCCTCAGCCTGGGTCGGGTTGGGGCCCCAGGTGCCCCTGGGCTGCCTGGCAGGCCTGGCTGCTCCGGAAGGTCAGAGCAGTGACGAACGCTGGGGCCGCTCTGAGCTCGGGGACCAGCGGGGTCCAGGCTCCCCTGCTGTGGGGGCCCGCTGGCTGAACACGAAACAGGGACGCCCGTGAACTTGGTGGCTCTTGCTGCGGCTGAGCTGAGGCCAGAGCAGGGCTCAGCGCGGCCCTGAACTTGCTGAGCCGACGGCGCAGGGAGGGGTCCCCGGCAGAGGCTGTCTGTCCAGGAGGCCGTGCCTGGTGACGGGGTCGCCACCTCGTGGGATGACAGCCCTGGGGGCTCTCGCTCTGCCTGTCCCAAACTGGCACCTGCACCCCCTCTGCTTCCCAGAGGGTGACCGGGGCCCAGACGTCCAGCTTGGGGGACACCTGCATGCCCTGTGGCCGCATCACCAAGGACCTTAACGGTCTCAGTCTCGCTTTCGGGGTGTTCAGTGTGGGGGCGCCGAGGGAGCAGGTCTGGTGAGAGGCCCGTGAAGTCTGCTGCTGCTGTCTGCCCCCTCAACCTTCCCCTTGGACCCCAAGCCCAGCCGGAGCCTCCTGTGCCCTGAGGAGTCCTAACATCAGAGGCCCTCACGCACCAGCCCTGGTCACCCGCCCCCCCCACCCCCACCCCCGGAGCCTTGGACCTGCGGGCAGACCGGACCCCAGAGCAGGCCAGAGAGCGCCCATCTGCTGAGCCGAGAAACCAGAACTGCGACTTTTCTGTCTGAGAAACCCCCGGGACCGAACAGCTGGTGCCCCAGCGGTAATTGTGGTGAAAATGTTCCTTCAATGACCCAAATCTGCTTTTCGTTGGTCCTAATGGCTCCTCCAAAGCCCTCACGAAACTGACGCTGTCACAAAATGAAAATAAAAGATTTCACGCGATCTCTGCGTCTGCCCCGTGCGCCCCAGCGGGGGAAACCGCGTTTCAATAACCGTAACAGGAGGGGGCGGGGGGGGGGGGAAGGCTCATCATTTATCCTCTGGGGTGAGTTTTATTGAACAAAGCATCTGGGGAATCAGCACGGCCGGCGATGCCCAGCAGACACAGCTGCTGCCCCGCCGGCCACGAGTCGCAGCGGCAGCGGAAGAACAGGGGGGCGCCGCGCAGCCCCGGAATGCCCGCGTGCCAGCCCTGACGGCGGGAGGTAAACAGACGGGCGCCCGCCCCTCCCCCCACGCTCCGCCGGGCCCTGCGCCCCGCCTCCCGTCTCCTGGTCCCGCCTGCAGAGGCGGACGGCTGGCCCCCTCCATGGCCCCTCAGGTGGGCGCCCCGAAGCAGGGGCCGCCCCCTGCTGGGCGTGCGCGAGAAGCTCCCGGGCGGTGACCGGTGGTTAGAGGGCCAACCCGGGGCTTCACCGAACGGGGCGCCGTCGGGCAAACAGCCGCCCGGGACAGGAGGGGGCCGCCTGGGAGGTGCCCTCCGACCCACCCCTCCCCTGCAACGTGATCGGAGGTAAAAGATACCTCCGCGGCCCAAACGCATTTGGGGAGGGGCCAGCGGAGGTACTGGGACAGCTTCTCCCAGCCATGGGGTGGCCCCGCCGGCCTCTGTCCATGCCCCGACCGGGGGGGGGGGGGCTGTGTCCGCCTCGGGGGACACCCTCCAGCACTGGTTTCCGACCCGCCGACTCCGTCCTTAGCGTCTGGAATCGGACCCTTTGGCGGCCCTGCTGCGAGCCGTGATGACGTCACTAGCAGGGGCCCCGGACCCACAGCCGCTTCCCTGCCCGGGGGCTCAGAGGGTCTTCCCTGGGCTCTGCTTTCCCTGGGGCCAGCGTCCCTGGAATGTTCCAGACTCCAGGTTCCGTCCTGGAAAGGCGGGCGGCAGAGGGGGCAGGGGTGGGTGGGAGCGAGGCCGGGGTGGGGGTCCCCACCCGGTGCCCTCCTTGCTCACAGGGGCCCGTGGGGATCGGCCACAGCACTTCACATTGTTGGACTTATTCCCGTGCCTCCGAGGGCACGCTCTCAGGCTGGGTCCTCTCAAGCCAAGGCAGGACCCTCCTTTCGGCAGAGCATGGCGTGCGGAGACGGGGGGCGGGCTCAGACCGACATGGGCCCTTCCGACCGGGCACCTGCTACCTGCTACCCGCTGACGGGTGCTCAGCAGCAGACGGGGCCCATGGCCTCTTGTGGGGCCCCCTGCTCGCCGGCCGCGTCTTGGGATGTGCTACTCCTGGAGGCCCTGGTGGCGTTGGCCCGGATGGAGATGTGATCCCAGCCCCCCTGTGGGGAGAGAGCCGGGTCACTGGGGTGGCAGGGGGTCGGGGGGCAGAGACCATCCTTCCAGACGCTGGGGCCTGGGGACTCCTGAGGGCTCCGCTGGGGTCTCCCGCCAACCCCGGCCGGTCCCAGCCCGGGGGGCCCAAGCGCACACAGCGTGCCCTCGTCGCCCCGGCCTGAGCGGCCACCCTCTGCCGGCGGGCTCACCCCGATGCCGTAGTCCCAGCCCTGCCCCGTGGGCTGCAGCGGCTGCACGCCCGTGCGGTGACACACGGTTCCCCGGCTCAGGCTGTGGCTCCCCTGCACTTTGTTGGCGATGACCCAGACCTGGAAGGCAGACCTGCTGGAGGCCCTGACCGCCGTGGGGCTGTGGGGATGGCCGTGGGGAGACGGGAGGGGGAGCCCGAGCCCCCCAAGGCTCCGACCCCAGAGGGAGCACCGGCCCCCTGTCCCCGCCCCCCCCCCCGGCTCCAGACCTGGTCCAGGGGCCCCACCGACACGCGGCGCACATTGTTGGACACATGCCCCCAGCTGGAGCCTTGTGGGTAGCCGGGCGCGACCCCCTGGAGGTGCCACAGGTTCCCTGTGGAGAGAAGGCGCAGCCGGAGGTGAGGCCCGGGCCCGGGGACCCGCCAGGGTCTGCAGAGCCACTGGTCCGACCGACAGCCTCCCCGCCATCTGCTCCCCACGCGTGCCGGGGCTCCACCAGCCCACAGCGAGGGGGGCGGCCCGGAGCAGCCAGCTCTGCCTCCCCCACACTCAGCGCCACGGGCACCGAGGGGCAGGGCAGGGCCGGCACCTTCTCCGCTTTCTACGCCTGAGGCGCTGCGGCCCAGGAATGCCTTGTGCAGACAGAGCGTGGGCCTGGGACCAGAGGCCTGGGTCCCTGTCCAGCACGTGCCCTTTTCTCGCCTCGCTCAGTGGGGACCACGGCCCCTCAGGAAGGGGGGCCGGTGACAGAGCTGCCTGAGGCAGTGCCATGCGGCCACCTCCCGGCCCCCAGCTGCCTGCCGAGGGGCTCCCAGCTCACAGGCCTGGGTGGCACCTTCTGGAAGATGCTCCCAGCGCAGGCCCTGCTGGGCAGCGTGACCCGGGCCTTGGCACTGTGCCCTCTGCCCCAGACCTGGGCAGGGCTGACCATTTTGGGGGGGCTGGTGTCCCCCACCCCGGGGAACAGGGGAAAGGGACCTAGTTGGAGGCTGACCTCAGGATGGGTGGCCTCTCACGGTGGCTTATGAAGGTCTCATGCCAGGGACCCGGGGGCCTGTGAGGGTCTCACCCCATGGGGGCGCTCAGGGATCCCCCAAACCGCCCCTGGTGGCCCCAGGGGCTGGGGATGACTTGCCGTTCTCGTCCACGGCGTACACAGACATCTGGCCCACAGACACCTGCACGAGCCTCTGCTTGGGCGGGGGCGAGATGTGGTACCAGCAGTTACCTGGAACGGGAGGCCGGACTTGGGTGCTCAGGGAGACCCCAACCCGCAGCCCCCGGCGCTGGGGAGCACGTCATCTCCACTCCCGGGGTGGCCGGGTGGGTGCGCCCTGCCGACCGCCAACGCCCGGCCTCTCCCAAGGCCCAGAAGCGGCCGTGGCAGGTCCCAGGTGGTGGGGCCGGTGGGGCCGGTGGGGCCGGTCTCAGGAACACGGGCACGACGGTGCCTGCCCAGCCTGTGGCGGGGAGCCGGCCTCTCGGCCGCTGTGCCAACCCAGGCCCCTCAACCCCGTGTGGGGCGCACGACACACCAGCCGCCACCCACTCGTCTGCCCCTGGGCCAGCCTCCCCCAGGCCAGACGTGGTCTAAGAGCAAGCTGGCCCGGCCTGCGCTCCGGGGAGCGGCCACTGAGGGGTGGGCCATGTGGGGCAGGGCATGCACGGTGCCCGCCACCAGCTGAGGGCAATGAAGCACGGCCATGAGGGGTGGGGGTGGGGGTGGGGGAACGGGAACTGCCCCCACCGGGGCCCAGGGGGAGGGCCGTGGCCTCTGGGGATCCGGCTGGGCCCCCAGCACCTGGCCCACAGGCGGCTGCCAGGAGGTGCTTGTGGAGCTGAACTGAACATCAGGAGACCCGTCGACCAGCTTCCCCTGCACGTGGAGGGGCGCGCAGCCTCGCTCCGGCCAGCCCCGCCCCCACCACAGGGCGGCGGCACCAGGCGGGGGGTCCTCCGGCAGGGCGGCACTCACCGGCGGGCTGGGCGGGGGACACGGGCTGGGCGGGGGACACGGAGCCCCGGTAGAAGGCGGAGCCGTCCCTCGCCACGGCCCACACCTGGTGGCAGCCCCCGATGGACACGGAGGTGAAAGGCTGGTCGGTGCCAATGTGCAGCCAGGAGGAGCCCTGGGGACCGAGGGGGGAGGGCGCTGAGCACCGTCCGGCCAGCCCGGCCCCGGCCCCAGGAGCTGGCGGCGCCGCACGCCAACCCCACCCTCAGCTCCAACCGCCCAGAGCCTGGCGGCCCGGCCTAGCCCGACTCCACAGCGAGCCCTGTTTCTGGAAGGATCTGTCAGAAGCCCCACAGTGACCACAGGGCGGGCGGGCCCGGCGGTCCCCAGAGGCAGGGACGAGGGTGCTCACCGCGGGGTTGAGCTCCGACACCCCCAGGCGGCAGAGCACGTCCCCCTTGTCACTGATGGCCCACAGGGCGATGCTGTGCCCACTCCCGTCGGCGCCCGGGCTCTCGGGGATGATGGACACGTCCCTGAGGGCGATGGGGGCCACCTCCAGCCAGGGCCCGCTGGTCACCAGCTTGCATTTTCTGTAGGGCGGAGACAGCGCAGCCCTGGGCACCCCGAGGCTACTGCCGGCCCCGGTCACCTGCCCTGGACTCTCAAAGGCCGTGGAAGGCCGCAGCCGAGTCGCCCTTCTCCCCAAAGCAGCCTCGGGGGACCCTGGGGAGGCCAGGACCACCCCTCACCTCAGCACCTGGGCAAGCACCCCTGCCCCCCGCCCTCCCACCCCTGCCCCCCGCCAGCCCGTCTGGCCAGCCCGTCCTGCTGACAGGCAGAGGCTGACATGACATTTCTCCTGTTTGCTCTTGAAAGCACACTCTTCAGAAACCAGAGAGGCCGGGCGCCCGCGGGCACTTCCTGGGCTGACATTTACTTAGATTCGTGTCTCCTCCCCTCCGCCTCCCCTTCCTCCTTCTGGGACTGAGGTCGGAGGCCGGCAGGTCGGCGGGGAAGGTGGGGGGAGGGGCCCGGCCACAGCCCAGTTGCCTCGTGCCGGTCTTTACCTGGCCCAGCGCCTTCTCCGGACAAAATCCCTCATGGTTTTGTAGCCGTGATAGGAGCTGCAAGGGAAAGAAGCTGAACTTGAGACCGCTCCGTGGAAGTTTCTGGAAAGCGACGCTGCACACACAGGCACACGTTCTCTCTCCACTGTTCCAGGGCGAGGAGCCGCTGTGAGCCGTGCAGTGGCCTCGGAGGGCGGCAGGGGTCACAGGACGCGACGCTCAGGCTTCGGACACCTCTAGCCTGGCCGGGGTCTCCCTGGGGCCAGGGCGCGGCCGCTGCCCGACCGGTGGGCTCCGCTAAGGGAGCTCTGGGTCCTTGCCACCCCAGGCCGGGCCCTGTCCTTCTAGGGACAGTCAAGCTGAGGGCCCGAGGCCCGTGACACCGGTCCCCTCCCGGGGTCGGCCCGGAAGTCGTGGCTCACAGCTGA